TGGAAAGAGTTTTGCGTGTGTTTGTGTCTTGACTTGACTGTGTGTACAGACGGGCTGCCCAGCGATTCTTGCGATTGCTTTTGTCTGTTCAGGAAGAGGAGGGAGGTCTGTAGAGGGAATGGTGTGACCTGCCAGCTCAGGGATAGAAAGACTGAGGGAGAGCAGAGAAGACAGAAAGGAAAGCCTGGGTTTGTTTTGTGCCCTAGTGCTGATGGAGGAGGGGGGGTGGTCCAGACAGTACATTTTGTCTGCTCTGTGTCCGGCTTTAAAAGCTTACCAGACAAGAAAGTCTCCAACCTCTGAACCTGCTCTCATTTTCATTCCAACCTCACCTAAAGCTTGGCAATATGAAAACAAAACACGGTGATAAATATTTTAGAAAAATACCTCAATGTTGATGAATGTTGACGATGATTAAGAGGAAAAAGAAAACCCCATTAATGATTGTTGCAGCATTCATACAGATAACAAGTGAAAACATTACAGTAAAGTGACATGCTTTGGGGCAGTAGGTGTTATTTAGTCACTGTTGGAAGAAAACTTTGTATCCCCAAAATGTGTTAAATGTTAAAAATGAATGAAAAGAAACTTAACTTTATTGTACATTAACATAATAACATTTTATTTTGGACCATTTCTGTTGCTCCATTAGGTCATTAAATGTTCTCATACTGTAAAGGGTAGCTGGTGTTTTCAAATAGTGGAAAAAATTGACTTAAAAGGTTTTGACATAATAGCCATTTGTGAATGCCTCAGTAATGCATGATTGTCTTGTGATGCTCATGGCAGTGAATGTGTTTGAGTGGTGCTTCCTGGCCATACACTTCTCCTGTGACTGCTTCATAGATGAGGAAATAAACAGATACAAAATACATCACCCTAGTTGGGTGTTTCATTTTCTTGACCTTTTTTTAAATTACACAACCAGGACGCAGTGTGATCGGATTACTCAAACCACATTGAAGTGTGGTCATAGATGAATCGTGACCACCTTTAACAGTGCAAATGGAATGTGTTTTCTATATATGTACCTGACTAGCAGGTGAGACAATAAACAAGTTAAAAAAAGTAAATGTATGTATTGATGTGCTTTTTATGCAATAAAGTGAGAGAGTGAGAGCTGGTGTTTGTGTCTGGAGGGTCTCTGCATGATCCTGCTCCATGATTAAGTAATAGGAAGGTGTCAGTTGAGAGAAGCTGATGCCGTCGCTAAGTGATCATGTTCTTGTCCTCCTCCTCACCTTGCCCCCCATGCACTAGCATACAGACGTCCCAGCCCCAACCCACCCGGTCACCCCGACCCCCCACACACGCACAACATCAACCCGTGGAACAAGAATGCTGACATAGCATTTATGCAGCTGCCAGTCCAACTGACCCTGCCATCTCCTGTCTGTCTGTCAAAGACACTAGCACTTGTTTCTTTCACTCTAGCAGGTTGTGGCTTTGCAGACCTCATCACTTAAAAACTGTGACATGCAGTCAGGTCATTCAGTCAAGTCATCCAGCCTACTGTGCTCGCGTAAGCTGAAATTAGCTCAACGTCACTGAGTCATACAGCTGATGATGTTGCTGGCTCACGCTAGTGTCCATCAGTGAGCGTGTGTCCCCGTCATTGAGTGTACATGCAACGTCTTAAGGGAATTATCAGTACCTCTTTTATTTGTAGGACTGCAGCTTTGCATTGGGTAATCAAACCATCAGAGGGGAACCCCCATAGTGTTTTAGGCCTTCAGAAAAGGTCTAATGATTTCTGTGAGATAAAAAAGCGATATGTGGGTAGATATAGCCATGCTTGCTTCCCCATAGGTTAGCACTTTGGCTGAACTTAAGACCCAAAACGTCAGATTAACAACTAATTAAGATGTGACAGTGGAATCAACCAGTTTTGTGAGGGACAAACCATCACTCTGGGCCTTCTGAAAGTCCTAGATATGTCACTGACTGTAAGTTCGCTTGACCAATGCATTTGTCATGTTAAAAATAGAAAAACAGCAGCAGCTCTATACCAGGGCTAGTACAAACTTCAAACGTCTTTTACAAGCTTCAGTTGTCCACATTCAGTGTAGGACTGCCAAGTGTTAATGTGAATCTCACAAACATTGTTAAAGTGCCATAGAGGCGCTATATAGCATTATTGCTGAGGATGCTCCCGCCTTGTTTTTGTGATAGTTTTGACATTTATGTGCTACACTTAAGGCCTAGCTTTGACAGTAACAGTCCTCCACTGCAAACCATCATGTGTATAATTTTATACTATTTAATTTCATTTTTTTCCCCCATCATAGGACCATCATCATACAAACCTCTCTGTATCACAAATGATTTCTTCTTTTATGGTTCAGTGAAACAGAAGTCAAATTGCCTCCAATGCTTCCTGTAGCATATCACAATCTGGCAGAATGGCCACATGCATCATATGAACATTACAGAGCATTGTAGAGTTAAAATGTAGCATAATATTTTTGCGTAAACTTTGACCAATTGTGGCAGCCCAAATTACTAATGCCCCGTAGAGCACTTCAAAAATGTCATCTGTTCTAATATTTTACATATCCTTTGTATTAAATTGAGTTATTAGTGGTTGTGGGTGTGGATGTGTGTGGTGTGTTTGAGCAGGCAGTCTAACTTGTTTGATTTGACGTGTCAGCACGTGGTTGTGGACTGCCTGCAATGCTCTGACCTACATCTCCTGTGTGTGTGCTGACCTGATCTCACAACTCACTTCTGATCTGCTTGCTGATATGAGGTCAGATGTGGCCCACCCAGACCCAGAGGTCACCTGGTGGTGCTGCATCACCCAGCACAACCCTGACCTCAGAACCACTCACCATATACAAACATCCTCTCTCCCTCTAGAGGCCTGCATGTATGCAGTATCCGTGGGAAAAAAAAAACTAGTCAGCCTACAGAGGTGAAACTTAGAGGTGTGGTAAGCTGTGGCTTTGTGTGTGTGTGTGTGTGACAGAGAGCAGAGAGAATGCTAATCATGTAACAGGGGGAACGTGCTTTACTGCACCACTGTGAATCTTCCATCCTGCTACCATAGCTGAATGTATTTACAGTGGCACTTCAAAGCAAAATTTATTCCAGACTTCATGAGGGAAGCACATCTATATTGTAAAGCTAGTCAGTTCTGATGTAATGTTCTCCTGCAACAAGGGATATTGGTAAGGATGGGTGAGATGGAAAAAAGTTGACTCCTCCAAACTTAAGGGCATTTTCACATTACACAATTTCTGAGATTTGTAAACAACTTGGATTGGAGCTTGGAAATGCACCACCAAAACAGTATTGCCAGAGTGGTATCTGATTTGTAATGGAGAAGTTTTGGGTCTTGAACCTCTTTTGGTAGTCCACATGAGCAGTGATTGCAAATTTCTTGTATAATGTCTCAGTTAGGAACTGTGATATAGCTCCACATGGCTGCCATTTTCACTGTTGATCCGCTGCAGCTCAGACTGTTTGGATATGTCTGCAGTGACCTACGCAGGACAGTATTTTTTAGTAACTGTTTCTTATTTTCAGTATAACAGAAACATTAGTGTTAGATTTTGATATTTTTTCATTTGTGTCAAAATGCTTTAATTTTTTTTGTGCAAAAAAACAGAAGTTCCTTTTTTGACCATTTTAGAGGCCACTGATTCGGTGCAACCCTTAAAACCAGGAAACGGCCTAACGGGTTGATATCCAGCAAGCTTCCTGTTACTGTATAGTTTATTCCATCATTATACACTGGTTAATGATGTTTATGTGGTATAATTGGTCAGATTTTTTTGTTTATTATGTTTGCACTTATTCAGTGTTCTAGAAGTACTGGCGCTACCCATGTTTTACTCTGTGTGTTGTAGTAAAATACGTGGTACAGATCTATGCTCTGAAAGTTTGTGATGTAGTTTATAATGATAATGATATCCTCATTTTCACCTCTAGACATTAGGTGGTTGAAATGAAAGTGGTACTGTAATCACTAATTATTACTTCTTTGAGTTATTGGGTGCTTGTTAATAGCAATAAGCATGATTGATGTTAAAGGCAGTGAGTGTGCACATACTCATACTCATGCGCTGAGATAGGTGTCATGTTGTGTCGAGATGTTTGTTGGCAGTGTGAAGGTGTCTGAGCTACAGCACTGCGGTAAAGTCTTTTATAGCTTCTGATTAATAGCCAGTATATTTGACTCCCACTATTGCAGCCAGGCTTCAGTCTCACTTTTTTCATTTTAGCACATTATACTGAGTGGTGGGTGGCTCTGCAAACAGCACTTGCAGTGTGAAAAGAGCTTGAGAGATAGTGGATTTATGTCTCATTGGTGAAAAAAATTATTCACTGTTGAATCAGAATCTGGGCCAAACTCAATTTTGAAGTGTTACAAACCACTGACCTCACTGGTTTCAGGTTTCATTTCCCCATGGATGGGTATCGATTGAATAGCGCTACAGTCTTTGAAGAATTTCTGGTTAAGAAATACTTCATAGATGAAAATTGTAGAGCACCAGACAACCTGGATGTGCAATGATGTGTCTCAGTCCGTTATGAACAGTATCAGATGGTATATTTGCACTCGTGGTGTTACGAGTACTGAATGACTCTGCATACCACACACCCGTACACCAACTGATCTCTCTAGAGACTGCTGAGTAGGCATGTTTCAATGGAACCCATTCTCTCGTCCTCTGTGTCTCTTTCTCTCTCTCTCTTTCTGTGCATTTTAGCAGCTCCCCCACATTTGCAGTGAAACCGTTTAGGTGAAATATTGCCCCCTAGTGGATCACAGTTCAGTTTTTCCCCTCACAATATGAAGATGCTTACTAATAACCATAGTCCATTTCATTACTGAAGTGCAGTTTCTTGACTCACTTTATTAGTCATGTTCTGATATTGGTTTAGAGTCGAGGATATTTAAGGAGAAGTGTTTTATTTTAAATTTTATTTTATTTTTGCAATGTTGTTTACTCTTGGACTATTTTATGCACTGATGTATTCATGTATGTGTTCAGGAGCAGATCCATGTGCCCATCTACCATCCCACCCCAAGTCAGGCCCGGTTGGCAACGCAGCTGACGGAAGAGGAGCAAGTGCGCATTGCCCAGAGAATTGGCCTCATCCAGCACCTGCCCAAAGGGGTCTTTGACCCTGGCAGTGATGGCACTGAGAAAAAGATACGGGAGTGAGTATCGTATTTTAATGGCTGGCTTTTGAGCTCATTTTTTAAAGAAAATGTACTATTTTAATGGACATTTTTTTTCTTCTTTTTCTTTTTTTTTAATGTAAAGTGCCGCTTGGTTCTTCTGAGCATCTCTCATTTATTGTCTTTTCATGGAAACTGCTGTCAGTGATTAAAACTAGACATCTAGGTGATTCCTTTTTACTGAAGTCACTTATAAATTGCGATTATAAATTGCAATATTGGGGGGGCTTCTTTAGAAAATCAAATCAAATCTTGACCTCAGGATCGAAAATGGCATTGAACATAAAAATTTGCCTATCATTACTCATTCTGCCTATTATTATTCATAATTTTTTAGTACCAGGACTAATTCCTTGATTACAGATTTATGGAGGGTACTTTTTTGATACCTTATTAAAAATAACAAACTGAAAGTGTGTGTTACTTAAACCAGAAATGAGTGTGAAGTGCTTTAAGTGGGTATATTTAAAAACTGGTCATTTCAATTTGGTGTTGAATAAACCAGAATTTTCAATTCTCTGTAACACTGAATTAATTCAGTTGGTACCATAATTATTGAATTTCAATGACCATGACCAGCCCTAATTGCTACACCTCTAAAATGACAAGAAAGCGTAAAATAAAGTTTCAACTTTTCAGTTTGTCTGTGTATGTAATATATTATGCATTACTGTCACAGTACAGTCCTGTGCGAAAATCGGACACCAAATTTAATTTGTTTCATTTCCAGTCAAAATGGCCATTATGTTATAAATTTTTCAGGAGATATTTCTGAGAAGATTACGTGTAAGATAATACCCTAAGAAACATAAGAAAGGGGAGATCAAGGAAAAATAAGAAAGGGGGGAAATGAAGGAAAAAATAAAAAATAAAACTTGAAAATCAAATAAAGACGTTGCTGGTGTTCTGAGTGGACTGACCACCCCAGAGTTCAGACCTCAGCATCACTGAGAGTGTTTGGGATTGCTTGGATTATAAAAAGCAGAAAATGCAGCCAACTTCTGAGATGAAATTTTTGAGTCTTAGAAAAACTGAAAGCAAGTGTCCCTAACAGAATGGAAGCTGTAATGAAGGCTAAGAGTGGACACAATGAAAAAAATCTGTTAAGTATGGTTTCTGCTGTTTTCTCTGCTTTTTTGTTCTTAATGACTATTTTGGCTTGAATATAAAAAAATGAAGAGTTGTCTCTGACTACACATTAGTACATTGAATAGCACATTGGCCTTTTTTAGGGCTGACTGAATGATGACATGTTTTCTACTCTCTCTAGGTGTGTAATCTGTATGCTGGATTTTGTATATGGGGATCCCATTCGGTTCCTGCCCTGCATGCACATCTACCACATGGACTGCATCGATGATTGGCTGATGCGCTCCTTCACCTGCCCCTCCTGTATGGAGCCTGTGGATGCTGCACTTCTCTCATCCTATGAAACCAACTGAACTCAGGCTGTGTTAATCCTACCCCTACACACACACACACACACACACACACACACACACACACACACACACACACACAGAGCCCCCAGTCCCAGCCCACACTTTTCTTTTCAAGGAATTAACCCTTCTACAGTTCTACAGTGAGGGGGCTGGAAGGGGGTAGTAACCCATGACACCATGGGATACTGGATTACCTGAGATGCTCTCCTGGGTTGTCCTGCTGGACAGGGAAACCTGCCTGAGCCACACGAGTGACTACGTCATGTGACTCTCTCTTTAGCATCCCGACAAACCATTCTGCTGTGGCAACTCTTACACTGGACGGCATTAAACAGTAGAAAATTGTACAAAAAAAGACTTTAGGGGAAAAATGCAATTTGTCTTATTCTCCCTCCTATTCTCTGTCTGTAGTGCAGTAGGGAGTGGGGCTCTTTCTCTCTTCCTTTCTTTCTTTCTCTTCTCTCTCATTTTTCTCTCTCATTTCTGTTAAGGGCTCGTTTGATTTCTCAGCTGAGATGAAAATGACTAAATTATGAAATGCTCTTGCACACAAATTACAAATGGTGAAATTTGCACTTCTCCGAGACATTTTATCCCACCGAGCCCCTCCCTGTCCACACAGGGGCGTGTGTGACAACTCATTCCATTCAGCTTTCCTGTTGGGTACCCTGCAACTGCAGCCACTTGCTGTAGTGGGAGACTAGAAGTAGAACCTCTCCTTTTGTGGGCATGATCAACATGCCTGAATGCCAGTTAGCCTGAAGCGTTTTTTTTCTTTTTTTTTCGTTTTGTTATGGTTTGTTTGTTTGTTTGTTTGTTTGTTTGTTTTTGTTTTTTGCTTGTTTTTGGAGTATCCTAAAATATGCAGTGCTCTCTGTAAGAAATTGGAGACTGAGGCAGTTTTTATTTTTTTGACTCTTGAACACCTTGGATTTAAAATGTAACTCTGCTTTGTGAGGTTAAAGTGCATATGTACAGCTTTAATTTGAGGTTATGTCTGCCCATATCAGCTGAAGCATGTATGAATTACAGCCATTTTTATACATAGTCTTCCCAGTTGAGGGGACCAAAAATCATTGTGGACATTTGGCTGCTCAGTTGTTTTTTTTGGCCTGCAATTTACTGCATCATTAACTCATGCACAAGAGAACTAACAAATGATATAGAGTTGCCTCTAGATGTGGCATTTGCATCTGAAGTCTCTTGCTGTTTTTCCAATGGCAGTAAAGCAGGCCAAAAAAAAATCATTAAATCACATGGAGACACAGAAAACATTGGGTGTGTCAGAATCAACTGTTTGGTACATTGTTGAGCAAGAACGCAATAGTGAGCTTACCAGTAGCAAAAGATCTGCCAGATCACACAAGACCAAAATAAGTAATGTCCAAAGAATCATATGGAGAAACAGTTGACGACATTGTAGATGTATGACATACACCTGCACAACCTGCAGGATTCACCACAAGTTGCAAACCACGAGCAAGTCACGAAAACAGAAAGGCCTGGATTAAAGAGTACATATAAAAAGCCTGTGGAGTTTTGAGACTTACTCTTATGAACAGATAAATATTAACCCTGGACCAGAGTGACTGACGTCAGCTGCAGGATGAAAGAGTTTATGAAGTGTACAGTATTTTAACTGTTCAGCTCTGATCATATGCCTCGGAACATGTTGGATGGCACTTCGTCTTGTATTAGGACAGTAACCTGAAAAACGCAGCTAAAGCAGCTGTGGAATTATTTCAGGGTCCAAAAGTTTAACATTGTTGATTGGCCAAGTCAGTCACCTGACTGAGCACATTTCCCTTACTAAGGACAAGACTGAAGGCAAAGTAGAAAAAAAAAACAGGCAGGAAGTGAAAATGGCTGCAATACAGGCCTGGCGGAGTATCACCAGGGAAAATACTCAGCACTGGGTGATGGCTGTTAGCTGCGGACTGCATCTGCATGGATTTGCATTTTGAACTCGAATTACATTTATACAAATAGTTTACAATAAAATGTACAGTTACTTATGGTACTCTGAAATAGAACCAACTTCGTGCAAAAACATAGCCTATATAGTTTACATGTTTTGTTGAAGTGAAAATAAATTAACACAGCCTCCACAGGGGACAACCTTAAATAGTTTCTGCTAAATCTGGTGCATACTTTATTTGCTAATTTTGATGTATAAACAAATATAGCATAAAATATAAAATGAGCCAAAACTTTTAGCCAAGCTACATTTTATGTCCCATTTTATATTTTTTCATATGTTTAATTCAACAAATAAACAGTATTCATGCATTAAAATAATTGAAATCCAAATAAACCTTGGATCTCTAGAATTTGAGCAGTTCAGTCGAAGGCAAAACATTCTTGATTTTTAATGTAGGTTAATATAACGAGATTTTATTTCATGTAAATTTGGAACATTTCTATTGGTCCATTCATCATGAAATTTTACACAGCTGCTGTAATGATGTAGAAAATTAAATCAGAACATATGCAAATACATTTTTTTTTTCTTGTTTGGTCTGGACAGTCGTGATATACATCATGGTATTTGATGACATTTCAGTTTGCATAAATAAATGCTTTATTAAAGTTATTCCCTTTATATCCCATTATATAAATGTTAACCAGAGATGAGCCACATTTGTATTTGTATTCTTTCAAAACAATTTTTCAGTACCCAGCAAACAAAATGCTGTGGTAAACTGGCTTGGATACTTTGTGTGAAGGAAACAATAGATTAAAAAACAAAAACTAAACTAATAATACTACTTGGCCACTGTTGTTGTTATGGATAATATGCTCTTCATGTATTACCATGGAAAATCCGTCTCATGGTGTACCGGTAGAGACAATGTATTGTCCAGCATGTCCTGTACGAATCTAGTGAGCTAGACTAGAGCCAAAATAAGAAAAATTGCCACTGTCCAGTTGCTTACAGAATGCACTGTACTCCCTCGAGAGGAATTAGGTTTTCTGCTTGGGTTTGTTCTGGAATGATGTTGCTTATGAATGACATGTGAGAAGGTTTTGAAGCATTGCAGCGGAGCTAGTGCTGCCATTGCATTCTGAAATATCAGCTTGTCACTCAAACCTTTTTTCATTTGTGTAGTTTTCTTTTAATCACATTTCTTGTGCTCATATTGTAATTAACAGTAGTGTTATAGCTTGTTCATTACCAGAACCAAATTTTATTTAAAAAGATCACTGGAGCAATGAAATGCGTGGCAGCAGTCTTGACTGCTATGAGTATAATTGCTCATGCAAGAATAGTTTTAATTATAAGTAAATATGAAAATATTGGATTATAATGGGTAAGGATTATGTGTTGGTGACCTATTAGTAGTTGAGAATACATTCTATTGTGTGCATCGAAGGCAAACTTCTGGGGAGTTACTTGCCTTTCTTTTCTAATAACAGGACTAATGCACATCCTGTTTGTTAATCCTTTTCTCACATATACACCACAATGACTTATTAAAAAAGTATGCATGAGTGTGCAATTACCACACCATTTACTTTGTCACTTTGATTTGCAGAGGCTTTTACCCCCCTCATTTATCTGCATATTTAAACCACATACAGTAGTTTTGCTGTTGTTATTGTACATATAGATTGTTTTGTGACTAATTTTTATTTTAATCAAATCTCGTACTTTAAAGGAAGTCCATCAAGCATAAACATGACAACATAGAGACTGTAAATCTGTAATTGCATATCTGACTTTTCATAGTAATTGTTTTTTGAGGTCCAAGTCAGTTTGAATTACTTGCACAGCTCTTGCTCGGGCAGCAGGAGAAAGCAGTTGTTGTTTTGGCCTGCCTCCATACTGTGTCTCCTATTTCTTCTTTTTTGTCTCTCTTTAAAACAAAACAAAAAAAAACAAAAAACAAAAAAAAACAGAAGAGGTATAAAGTTGTCGATGCATGAACCGAAACCAAGCGAGCCGGACGTGCAACGGCCAACAATCCATCTATACATTTGAAATATCCCTTAGCCTATGTGTGAGGTTGTTCGAATACAGACCCTTGCTTTTCTCTCCTCTAATTGATGGTGAAGCACAGAAGAGCTTTGAAAATGTTGCTCCATTTTTGTAACTCCCCTGTCATCAGTTCTATAAAAGGAAAACAGAGTCATCTTCATGACTAAAGGAAGTGGAAACTCGTTGCTGGTTTTTGTTGAGCTGTTTTTCTGCTCTTGATATTTGATCATGAGGGGGTGTCCTGCCCATCTCCCCGTTACCAACTTCATCCCTGAACTTACCCAAACATGTCAACAAAAAATGAAACACAGAAGTGGCTGCTATTAAAGTAATCTTTTTCCAAGTTTCATCTGTGTTTGAACACATTTCTTGTGGCTGTGTGGTTATGATAGGGAATTTGTTGTTTGTGAAACCCCTGGGTTCTCATATCTGGTCAGCTAAACGCCAGCCGAGTTTTGTGAAGTATTCTTTTTTTCGCCATTTCCATTATAGAGAATAATTTATTAACTGGGCCTTCTTAAAGGGGCATTCTGGCCTAAAACTAGCATTTAACATGTTATTTTTCGTGTCATGTACTGTTCTGTAGTGCAGTGTTGCATCATCGGCCTTGTCTGTTTGAAGGAATTCATGTTTTGTGTTTTTGGCCATTGATGTTCTCTCACTACAATACCCAGTATGCACTACACATATACGTCATACAACCCCACATGCCAGTGATAAAATGAATCCTGACTGATAGCATAGCTGCTGATGTAGAGGCTAATAAATGCAGATAATGATAGCCAGCTAACAGGAGGAAAAAAAAAAACATTTCAAACAGCTTGCCCTCATGTATCCACCCCAGTGCTTGTAATTTCTCAAAAATTCCTCCCACCTTCAAGATACATAATCAGAAGAGGGTTTTGCTAGTCTTTAAATCAGAAAATCTTGCTCTAGGGGCTACTGCGGGCTGCTGTAGATGGCGAGTCAGCATGTTTACAACAGATATAGCAGTGGTTGTTCTTCAGTTTTGCTAGATTGTCCCTTTCAATTGCAATTAGCTTTAGCTCTAGGGTCAGCCTGCTAATACCTGCTTTAAGTAGCCTAACTTGGCTAGGCAGTTAGGTCCCCTCCGCAGAAAGCAGTTTTCTTTTCCCTCTCCGTACAGCATGGAGGTCTGTTGCCTTAGTTGGGCTGTATGGGTTCTCAATGGAAGTCTCAGACTGACATCAGCTTTGAGGAGGCCAGAGAGACCTCACCTTATCTGTACCATGCTCATGGACGTCACTGCCATTACACCCACCAATGGAACAAACCAACAATGCAATGTAATGGTAAACTTTCTACAGTGTAGAGAGAGACCAGTAGATGTATGTGGATGTGTTGTGTGCTGACAGTGAGAGTCTCCTGTTTGTGAGTATATATTTATATAAATATGCATCTGATATGTACTGCAGGCAAATAATAAATAGTGTCTATGCTACAAAAGTATAATTTGTCTGTCTTTTTCTAGCACAGGGATGTTTTTTAGATCTAAAATAACTGCCCATTTATTCACTTACCTGTCTGAGGCTCTACGTGGTGTTGACAGAAACTAAATTTTATGTCTGTTGAATTTACTGTATGTATAAGTACATGACTATGACAAGGGTCAGCTGGGATTACAAACTAAAACCAGTTAAATCCATTGTGACCCCTATTGTAGTAGCATTTGTCTTCCACTAGAGGGAAATGAGTGTGCTTTATGCTCATCAATTCTAAGAAGATTTTTTTTTTGTATATATTTAAGTCAGTTTACTGCAGCTTCAAATGATTAACGTTAGCAATGTATTAAGGAAACAGACTGTGTTTGCAGAAGTCACAATGGCATAGTTAGGATCTCATGGGTCCCAGTACAAAAACAATAAAAGTAATATGTAAAGAGCTTCATTCCAAAACGCTGCATAGCCATTTGTAACAATGTGGGATATAATTAGTTTTTAAAAGAATAACAGCCAGCATAGAAATTGAAACACATGATTGTTTCCTAATAAAGGTGTGTAATGTGTATTATGACGAAAAAGAAAATTCTTGAAAGTTGAAGGTGGTCTGCTATGCATTTTGGGATTAAACCCTTCATATACAGTCGTATGTTAAAGAGTGGTTGGTCCTGGTCAAATTACATGTTTTGTTGATTTTTTTTTTTTATGTGATAATAAGTTAGCACGTCCTCTACAAAGAATACATTTCTGCACAATTGAATACACAATTACTGTTTGGTTGCTCAACTGAAAATATTGGAAGAAAAAGAAACATTAAATGTGGCCTGTGCAAAAGTTATGGCACAACACATTCAGGTTTTATTTTTCCCCCAACATGTTAAACTCAGCAAAGAAATACAAATTGTGCACAAATATTTGCAGGAAATGCAATCTTTAAGTTTGTTCTCTGTTCTCTGTAGAGGATGTGTAATTATTTTCACTTTTAGAAAATCAACAAAACATGTAATTTGACTGGAGGTGTTCAGATTATATATATATATATATATATATATATATATATATATATATGTATATATATGTATATATATGTATATATGTATATATATATATGTATATATATATGTATATGTGTGTATATATATGTATATGTGTGTGTATATGTATATATATATATATATATATATATATATGTGTATATGTATATGTATACATATATATATATATATATATATATATATATATATATATATATATATATATATATATATATATATATATATATATATACACTACTGTGCAAAAGTGCAAAAGCATTAGGCACTGAAAAATAGATTTAAAAAGTTATTAATTCAGACAGTAACTGTTTATTTGCTCAGAAAAACATTACAATATATACAAATGATATTAATACAACAATTAGTGATTTTATGTATGTCAGTGTGTTCATTTAACCATTTCTAAACCTCTACTATAATCTGTAGCTATTATCCAGTACTTGGAATTTAACAAATGTGGAACCAAACTTCAGACTAGTTCAGAAGACATCAAGCACTTTTTCACAACAAGACATTTCTGTCAACAACAGAAATTTCTGCTGTTGTTATATATAATATAAATACAGTAAATAGTGTGTGTATGTGTGTGTATATATATATATATATATATATAGATAGATAGATAGATAGATAGATAGATAGATAGATAGATAGATAGATAGATAGATAGGGCTGTCTGTTTAGTGTTGATAAAAGCTAACTGGTGAGGTATGTTAAGAAATTGTATCTTGCTGTGAGTCATTCTGTGACAGTTGTGTCAGTATTTTTATGAAGGGCTAAATAAAGATTTTAGAGGGCTTGGTCGATTGTCCCCATACTTGACATAAGCTCCCACTAGTAGTTACACCAGGAGTCCATCATATTGGGCAATTTCCTTTGATAGCAGGCTGCTAACCTATGACTGTATACTGTTGGACTGCCTGCTTCAGGTCTAGGGCTCCTCTTTCAGATCATCTGATCAGGCCTTGAAGATCAAATGAAAACATGTTTTACAAATAGCAATAAGGTAATATCTCCCTCCACATCTGTCAATCACACCCGTGTCTCTTAACTAAAACAGTGCAAGGGATACAAATTTTGCTGGGGCTTCACTTTTAACACAGTAATGGACCAAATGATGGGCAACCAAATTTTACTCACTTCTTTCAGTAAAAGATTTAAAATGGTATATAAACATTGTTAAAATATACCATTAACTCAACAGTCCATGCAGTCCATACATGGAAAATATTCTTCAAAAACAGCCCATTTGTAATGTCACAAAAACTAATAACTTTTATTTATCTGCCTAGTAGTGCTGAAGTTACACAGAGTGCTTTTTTTGAAGGAGGCAATCTGCAAAATACAGAGCAGCCAGTTCCAACAGGTGTCATTTACATATGTCAGTCTTAAAGGCACAGTAACAAACACAGCCTGTTTAATTTTAAAGGAAACGGAAGTTAGAAAATGGTTATGTAAAATGAAGTATGTCAGTTTTTGTCATGTAAAAAAAACACACAAATGTAATAATTAGCCCTAGGTAAAACACTGCAAATATAACGGTATGGACCCCTTAAAATTCCCATATTGTACCATGATACTGAGTCACTCTTACAGATTTGCATATTATGTTGCATGTTATGTGGACTTTTCACATGTGATGCACATTATTAGTTTTCACTTGTAATTCTCTTACATTATTTTTTCATTTACACTTTGCAAATGTGTAATTTCTTGACGGAACAGGTTGAAGTAGATTTCTATGTTCCATGTAATGATGTAAAACACAAACATAATACCACAGATGTACTTGAGATCACATGCAGTTACCGTGCATAACATGCCACACATTTGATCACATACTTATCACATTATGTTACACGTGATCAAACATTCATGATTTAATGTCATGTTGTCACATATTTGTCACATTGTGTCACATGATCACACATTCCTCACATTATGTCACATGATCACATTCCTCACATTGTCACGTGTTCACCTATTCTTCATTGTCACATGTGATCACTTATTCTTCATGTTATTCTGTGATCACGTTCTTAACATTGTCACATGATTACATTCCTCACACTGTCACGTGATCACATTTTCATATTGTTACATGAGATCACATATTCTTTACATTGTCATGATTACATATTCTTCACATTGTCATGTGATCATTCTTCACATTGTCACGTGATTATAGATGCCACATTGTCACATTATCACATTCTTTACATTCGTGTTTATTTGTGAACATGTGTTTTTATACATTTCACATATGATAACATGTGAAATCGCTTTTGTGTAAAGGCAGAAAAATAAAAAAGAGGACTAGCAAGGGGTTTCTTGGCTGCATCTGTATAGGGCTGTCTGCACTGCACAGTTTGTTGTTTTCCCTGCACCTCATTAATTTGATTAAATAATTTTCCAGTCCTTTCTAAGCTGAATCAGGTGTATCAAAGCAGGAAAAACATGAAACTGTGCAGAGGTCCTATACGGTTGTAACTAAGAAAAATAAATAAATGTTGTCAGTATATTCCAAAGTATGAATAAAATGTTGCTGTCCACTGTTTATATGTGTACGTATGTTTATATGTTTGTGTGTGTGTAAAGTTGTATGTAAAAGTTTGAACACCCCTGGCCAAATTACATTTTTATTTTTATTTTTTCTAAGTGAAAATAAGTTCACACATCCTTTACAGGGGACAGACTTAAATATGGTGTTATTCTGCACATTTTTAAAATTTCTAAATTTTCTATTTATTTGTTGAGTTTGGAAAAAAATAAAACAAAGTACAAAATGTGTTAAATTCAGCAAACAAACAGTAACTGTGCATTAAAATGTGCAGGAGCGTGTTCTCTGTAGAGGATGTGTTAACTTATTTACAGTTAGAAAACCAACAAACCGTGCCATTTTACCAGAAGCACCCAAACTTTTGCATTTGACTGTATCTCCAAATTTTTAACTTTTCAGGAGAAGGCAAAAGCATTCTTAACTTTTAATGTATGTTAAGGTAACAATGTTTTATTCCAGGTAAGTCAGGAGCATTCCTATTGGTCCATTCATTATAAAAAGGTTCACACAATGTGAAGAGTAGCTGCTGGGCTTAAATGGTGTAAAAAAAAAGATATCAAAAAAGTTCCACTTTCTTTCTGTTTGAATTCGTTTGTACGTCACTAACCTTATTTTGTCACAATTTGAGCAAAGATATTTGGGTGTCTAATATGATAGAGGCCTATCACCTATGCTTAGGTGAAAGCACCACAGTACTAATTTTAGAGCCATTTTGTTTATATTGTATATCTACAGCACACATATTCAAAATCTTTTTATATGCAAATTTCAGCATTTGTAAAAAGGCATTTTAGATGGGAGAACTGATAATCGATTCTTACGTGTACTGTTCTGTCTTTACAATTGAGGACGGCATAAAAGCCTCCATTTTCCCTTCAGATTTATTACAAACAAAAGGCCACGGGGGTCACGTTATTGTGAATAAGTCACTGTTGTTCTAAACACACAATCTACCTGTACTTTGAAGTGAATATCGCTTGACATGTACCTTGTGTTTCTATTGCTGCACTGCGTTTTAAGCCACGTTGCCTCTACAGTCTTCTCTGGTTTGGATATTATGCCAGTGCATGCATGTAAGGAAGGAAGCACTGCACTTGAACTGGTTGCTGTCCTGTCAATCATCTGACCACAATACACTCTTCTCAGAACTGGGAGAAGCACACACATGTGCACTATTTCAGGTCTTCAGAAAATATTAACTGTTGATTGTGCAATGGCTTACCACCTCTATGCTACTTGACTGATGGATCACCTTCTCTGAAGCAAAGGTGGTTTTCAAGTGGTGCCACATCTGTCAGCTGCCGGAATAAAGCTAATCTTGAAGCGGAAAGAAGGATACATTAACACAAACCATATCATGATAGCCATGAGGCCACCTTATAAAAATGCTTAACCCCTTAGACCTTAAGCATCCATGTATGGGCTCTAATGTACATCACTCACTCTTATAATGTACATCACTCGCTCTTATAACTACATCATGTATGCATTAGTTTCATAATAGTTAATAAGTAGTTAATGAATTAATGAATAGTTGTTAATGAATTGTACATTTTAATATTAATAACTAAATAATAAGCCAAGGGCTCAAAAGGTTAAAAATGTGTTATAAAGTTAAAAATGTGTCAGTCTACACCAAAGTTGAGCTTGAATGTGAAACAATATCTCATTGTTTGTTTGTTTGATTATTTGCTTTCTCTTGTTTGTTCTATTATTCTGGTCATTTGGCATTACAGGGGAATGATAAATGAATGCAGGCCAATGCACAACTTTTTCCTCCTGCATCAAAGAATGCTCTGTTTAGAAGTGGCCTACTATATTACTCAGTTATTCAGGCCTTGGGCCTCAATCATTCATTACACATACTGTGGTGTAATTCTCTAAATATCAACCTGTGGAGTCTTGATGAGATTTTAGTGAATTCAGCTTCATATAAATGAAGACGCACACGCAAAGATTCTGCCCTGGAGTGGACGTTAGGACACAGCAAAACAATATTGAGCAATTAGGCAGAAATAGCAAAAAGTGCACTGTAATCCCAATGTGCAAGCAGTGCAAAGCCTCTGAAATACCAATGAAAGGTCTGCTGCTCAAAACACACTATAAGACGGGTCAAAAGACCCTCACTAATAACTGTTCAATGGGCTGAAGTCTGCATTTGGCCTCCTAATCAAGTCACAACTTAAAACTGCAAATAAATTTGGGTACTCAAAATTAAATGGAGGTATTTTTCGTACAAGATTCATTTAATGTAAACTGAAATTTCATTTTCAGTCATAGGTCACAGTGGTATTGTTCAAGCCCACAGGAGAAATGATCCCATATTTATACATGCTTAATTTCCATTTTTGTGTTAATTATTTAATGAGTATTAATAAGATTAATAGCTTATAAATGCTTCAGTACACAATTGCAAAAACAAATGCCCAACAACTGTGCGCTGCATGGCTAACGTTATATTGCCTGGCGCTGTACCATATTAATCACACAAACACCCTCACAAATGATTAGATCTACAAGAGAAACCAAGTGGCTTAACATAAACAGAGACAGGGGGTTTAGTATATTCAAATCAGTCTCCTATTTTCCAAGTAAACATGCTTATATCAATAGCATATAACGTGTTCATACTTAATCAGACGACGGTTTGAAGTCACCATGAACGTCTTTATAATCACAATAGCCTGAAATTCTCTTTACAATGTTTTAGCAAACGCTTATATTTATGAAGGCGACGAGTATCCATTGGCATTTGTGCTGTGGGCGTCTATCAGTGTGCTGTTTCCAGTACGGGAGACCGCCTAGTGCAGATAAACCTGCTATTTTCCAGTAAAACACACTGTTATGACGCGTAGTTTACAGAATTAATGTTTTTTTTATCTATATGTAAATCAGCGACAGCACGGTGAACTACACGGTAACACCGTTCAGTTTAGCCTCTGCGCTCTGAATGAAGTGATGGGCTGCAGCCTTATCGAAGCCGCGCAACCAGGAAGAGATTCGTTTCACTCACATCTGCCAAATCCTCACAGAGCTGTCGAAAAACTGCACTCGTTGTGTGACTTTTTGAATTTTAGCAGTGTCTTTTGTAGCATAACACGAACGTTTTTTTTTGAACGAGGGCGCCAAAACTGGAAAGGCTAGTCAGAGAACGGTAGGCTATGCTAGGCTATGTCCTCAGACCGACCTAACGGATTTCTTTTTTTGGTTCACTTCCTCAGCCAGAAGTTGGAGATTTTCATTCTCTGTCTTTTCTGCGTTCACTCTGTCGTAAAATATTGAACAATAGCCTTAAATTATATATATAAAAACAGGCAACCCTTTTTCAGTTAGGTAGAGTAAAAACCGGCTACATAGCTTTAATACATTTAAAGTGGGAACTTTAGTATCAGCTGCACCCTGAGCACCTCTGCACCATGCTAGTCTTTACAGTCTTATTCTGAAAGTAAAGCCGAGCAGATTGTTAGTCTGACCCCATTCGAAGCAATTTTCGATTGTAGAAAAATATAGGGCATGCACAAATGCACATAATCTTAAATAAAGAGCTTTAATGTTCTTCCTATAAATGAAATATAGCCAAATGCGTGTGGTCTCTTTATAATACACTCACATGCCAGGCTGAAATGCTTCAGCTAACTCGAGGTAACGTAGTCTATATTAAAAACAAGAAAATAATTAATGTTACTGGATGATTAGCAGTTAACTCGATAGTGCGTTTAGTCATGTGAGCTAAAAATCAACACGAACATAAAGAGGAACAGAAATACAGTCATATAAAATCATCACACCAACACCGATATTTAGTGGCACCGTTTTATTATTTCATATTAAATGATGCACCCATCAATTAGTAATGTTCTGGAAAGCTATATCCTCTCGTTTTGACTCAGGCTTCCCAACGCCAGGTCTGCTGCGTTTCACAGCAAACCTTTCAGTCAATGCAAGTCAAACCCCTCTTGAGCCTGCATGTCGTATCCACAGTCTAAGTTAAAGATGTCACCTTGTTTGGAAGCCGTTCTGCCGGCTGTCTTTGGTTATTTTGCAAATATGTCTCGTTGCAACAAAAAGACATTCGTTCACAGTTAAATCTGACAAGTAATAAAATGCATTATGTACAAGCAAAAGTGCAATCGACAAATAGGAAAAAGGGCACAGTATCAGATCTCCCGGTTCTGATCTTTATAGGCCTAGTGCAATTCTTTTTCAGTAAAGTACACTTCTTTTTCGAAAAAGTTTTTTTTGTTTGTTTTCCCATTTTTAGTTGATTTAAACATGAATGTTCCATTGATTCCTCCGGTCAAACATTGTACTCCTTTGCTGGAGTTTGGCGTTGTTGTGCACAAGTCTAAGGACATCAAAACTGCACACAGTGGCAGCTGCACGGACGCAGGGCGCAGCTCGCTGAGATAAAAGTCACCTTTTCAAATAAAAACCAGGGATGAATTTCACAAAAAAGCGCTGTGGAAAAAAAGATCACACTTTGAATCCCAGATAGCAAGCATATATCAGTCTGCTGGCTTGATAAGGTCCACTGTTTGCCACTGCTGGACCACCCAGTTTACTCTGCTGCATACAAGATCTAACTAGTTTTTAATCTTCTCAAACAGATTTCAAATTCACATAGACTTTTATTTTAGAAATTAAACTAAGACAAATATTACAAACAATGGAAAATACATAATAAGCCTAATATAAAATGATTTTTTGAAAATGTTCTGGCTGACGATGTGCTAGATTGTTTACAGCTGCATAACCGGCGTTATTCCTGATTTTGTGGTTAAAATTATTTACTAAACTCATTTACAAAGGATAACGACGGAAAGAAATGGAGGAAGAATAAGTTTATAGAGCGCTGGAAAGTGGCGTTTTGTCTAACACTTTAGCCTAAACCCCACTGAGCCACCAGCTTTACTGGCCAGCAGTGGCCCGCTATCCTCTTGCTATCTGGGATGCTACTAATAATTAAGATGATCTCAACACTGCTATGCTTTCTGGAAACTGGGGAGAATATAATAATTCAATGCAAGATGCAACTGAACGAAAATAGTGTGTATGTGTAAATGCAGGGTGGACACGTTAGCCCCTGTGAGTGCTTTAGAATGAGCCTCCCTCGAGCTCACAGGATCACAGCTGAGATTTCACAACGCAGGAAAAGAGGTAGTTTGCTGAATATTTCTCTAATACTTCAGAACGCCCGTTCAGCATGTTCGCTAGCCTACCTCTGTCACACACAGCAAAGCCTGATGGTGCTCTCTAGTCTAAGCTGGGCTCTATGGCTGCGGGGGGCCTGTAGGTCTGCAGCCACTGGGCGATGTCCGCTCTGTGGTGCGCGAGCGCCAGGTCGAGCGGCGTTAAGTCCTCGCGATTGCGCAGGAAGGGCCACGCGGTGAGCGGCGCCAGGTAGCGGACGGCGTCCAGGTGGCCCTCGCGCGAAGCCAGGTGCAGAGGCAGGTTGCCGTCGCTGTCCTGGAGGTTGACGTCGGCGCCGTAAGTCACGAGCACCTCAAGCATGTCCACGTAGCCGTCGCGCGCCGCATCGTGCGTTATCGTGAGGCGCTTGACCGGGTCGCGCGCATTCGGGTCCGCATTGGCTTGCAGCAGGGCCTCCGCCACTCTGGGACACCCCAGCTTCACCACCTGCGAGAAGGGGGCAAACATTATTTATACGGTGGGCTCGAGGGGACGATATACAGGAAAGAACCGCATGGCGATGAATAGTTATAGCATGCATGTCATTCCGCAATTTTATTGGCCTGGCATCATTATTTTGGGCGTGGTCATTATTGAAGCTCATGGTGCACCTTCCAAAAAACCGTGTCCCATTTTGCTTAATTCACCCTACTTGAACCCATCAGGAGTGACCCCTTGGTGTGACGTGATTAATGACTGGCCTGCGTTATTTTAACCAAATTATTCACATTTTCTGGATCATGTAAATGCCCCCATTATTTCACCTTCATTCAGAAATTCTCATCTAGCAAGTCTGATATTTGGCCTAAATGCACTGCACAGTAAAAATAAATAAATAAACTTTTTTTAATAAATAAAAACGTGATTACTAATTTGTATGTATAGCCAAATATTAATGATTAACAAATGACATATTGTGTAGACATTATGTGCACTTAACTACATTTTTACACAAGATACAAACATTAATACATCAGTACTTAAGAAAAAGCACAAAAAGCTCCAAAACGACTATACTGCTTTTTTATAAATACCAAAACAAGTGTACATTTAATACACTATTTTTGTGGCTAAAAATTAAGCTATAATACTCTGCATGAGACCTACAGCCTAAGCATGTACTCATTAAATGCATATGTAGGCTACAGTGCACCCAAACAGGAAATAAATAGGACTAATCTTAAATCTTAACATTTTAAAATGAATTCCATAACAGGGATTAATTTCGGGAATAAAGCCACTGTTTTTCTATGAAATATCTTTTTGTTAGTTTGTTAGCCTTTGACCTGCATTAACACTGCAAATTACACTTGAGCAGATTAAAATAGATTGAGGCTAATAGTTCAAAGCATCATTAAAAATAATTATTTCTGTAAGACAAAACAGGCTGTTCAGTCCTAATCTGTACTCCTTAACTGTGACCTAATTTCTAACGTCCCTGAGTGGACATGCTGGTAGAGGCCTACAGACATTTAGCTTAACCTCACACTAAATTAGCCTACACAGTCAGTGATCCATCAAAAAATCTATTTTTAGTGTAGGCAAAGCAAAATCTGTTGCCAAATCATCCCTTAAACGCTGTTATAATTAAGATTACCTCCACAGTTATTAGATTAGCCTATAGTGTGTTCCATTTTAAACAGAAATGTTCTTTTGTTTTGTATAGAAGGTGATCTCCCTTATTTTGCCTGATTGGTCAGAAAGTATCTCCCATAAAAACGTACAGGCCTATAGAAATATAAATATATTTGTAAAACTACATGTAAAATAGTCTCACCAACAAATAAGGAACAGCATGGCTGAAATGCGTACATCCTAATACAGGCCATCAGGAACAGACTAGCCTAGCCTACATCAACTGCACATTTGTTGACACGACATTTGGGATTCCCCTAAATGTGCCTTATCCCACATATGTAGTAATTTTGAAGCTGAAACAAGATGCTTGTGTGAATACAGTATATAACTATGAGTAATTGCTGACTGTATTTTACCTTGACCAGTGTTTATCAACAGGCTATGGCTGCAGTGCATGTGGCACTCTTCCTCCTTCTCATGACTGGACTGAACAGCCTGTTTTCTCTTATAAAATTATTATTTTTTAAAGTGTTACTTTGCGTTTAGGTATGCTTTGAACTATTCTGTTCAGTAAATATAATTTTTAGTTTTAATGCAGGCCAAAAGCAAAGCAGCAAAAATAGCCTTTTTATTAAAACAAATCCATGGGCATGGTAATTAATATTAAACATCTATACGGCCTGAAAAAATGCCAGAAAGTGACACCAATTTTTTTGTTTGTTTCTGAGGTTTGCTTAAACAATTAGGCCATCTATATGAACTAAAACACGTGCACCTCTGGCAGGCCTGCGCTATGAGAATGAGGCATTTGCAGAGTCACTCCTAAAAAGCTATACGTCTGTACCACTATATGAGGAATTAATTGCTTTACAGCCTTTATAACTGCTTTAAAATATTTAAAATATGTCAAGTAAATGTCTGACTGCAGATATAGACAATCAGCTTCAACTAAATCTGCCTTAACTGTCTTAGTGTATGTCACGGAGGTCATTTGCATTTGCTGTGCAGCTTTTCTGACAGATAAAATGTAACAATTCGTAAGAAAAGTAATAAGAAATAATAACAAATAGGTGAAATAATACACCCATCTAGCAGACCGTAATAAAAGAAATGGAGCATGTAGTGCAGCCATATTATAGAAAGTTAGATGGGTGCATGATGTGGTCCATTTGTTAGCCTACATTTCTCACAACCAGATATTTTAAATCCGTGACAGTTGAGACAGATATGCCTATTCATTTGAAGCTGGTTGCCTATTTAGGATCACTGGGCGCTACTATCAGACGTTGAACAGCCTGCGGTGAAAATGTAAGACTAAAAGCAAAGAGCACAGCCTCTAATCGTCGATTTGGGTCTCCAACCTGCAATGGTGCCCTGCCGAATTTGTTCCTCTCATTCACGTCAACGTTGCCTTGCAGTATCAGTTGGGTTTCTCTCAGGTCTCCTCTCGCGGCTGCAGTGCACAACCTGTTCGCATCTGGGGCTTCGGCCATGATCTCCACGAGAGCAGCGAGGGGAGGAAAATAACGGATCTGCACTTCAAATCCTGTGATGTTGCTTTTAGATGACAAATCCCGAGTGTGACGCGAGGCAACACGAAACTGTAGTAAATAGTCTTTTCTTCCAGCCTCCCCCCTCCCTCCCACCCCCCCTCAAAAAAGTTGGTGTAAAGCCAAGGTCCGCCCCCCGTTTTAATATCGTCCCACTGTAACAATCGTAATCAGCACGGAAAACAGGAATATCACGCCATCTCCCTCCGAGCAGCAGGCTTCAGTCACCACCTGCGAAAACGTGCCGTGCAATAACACACGATCCACGCAGGAGCCTGAAACTGTGTCTCGGTTTCCCTCACGCGGGCTGAAACCTAGCTCCAGTTACGACGGCTGAGCTGAGCTGAGTTTTTTTTGGCTGGCATCCACGCATTTGAAAGTCTTTGAAAAAAACAACAAACAAACACCACCAACAACAATAAAAAAGACGCAGAAGCACGCGGTTTAAGATGAAAGCCAGACGACACTGGAGTGATCTGGCAGCCCCCCGTCAGCTCAGCCAGCGCTGAAAGGGCGTGAAGCTGCAGTAAAACTCGCAGATCCACTCCGAAACGTCCCCAGCACACCGACACGCAGGTGCAGGATCTCACAAAAAAAAAACCCTGCCACCCAAAGGTGCGTTTTGCAGACGCCCTTGAGACGCGAAAAAGTTGCCGACGTCTGAAAAAAAATACCAAACAACCCCGAACGGATAAAGAGCACGAATGTCACTTCGAGCAGCGATCAGCCGCCGCAGCCATCCAGTGACTTTCAGAAGGATGTGCTGCTCTCTGAAGTTTTTGCGCGAGCTTCCCGCCCATTTCAAACGGAGACCAAATGGTTTGAATGTCGAGCCTGCCTTGCGCGTTGGCTTCACTCTACGCTTCTGTTATTGTGGCTTTCTCTCTTGTTTTTCTCCCCCCACAATGGAAAGTCGACACGGTCGAGCAGAGACAAAGCAGAGCTGATCTGAAACGGCAAAAAATATATGAACGGACGATGAGTTTGCAAACCGGTCCCGCGCTGCTGTATAATGAGATTAGCGATTCACACAGCAGCACAAAATGGCAAGAAGTGACGAGGCAGTGATCTGGTCACAGTCCTCTGGCTGCACTGTGGAGCTGAAGATCAGCGACAACAACCGAAATACTGTCACATTTGAAACGCAGCGCTGTCCCGAGCTACCTGTGAGAACAGCCGCATCCCACACGGTGTACTTCGGCCGTTCTCCGTAACATTTTCTTCATCTGGCTGCTCGACAAGCTGATTGGTAGGCAGCTGACGTTGTAAGAGTGAGAGAGCGACTGAGAGAGAGAGGGAGAGAGAGAAAACAGTCCGCTGCTGTTGTTTGACATCACTCATTTTTGAAATAAAGGACCGAGACTTCCGCCCACTTTTACTAACAGACGAAGGGAGAGGCGGGACTCAACGGTAAGCTAACGTCGAGGAGAGCCACACATGCAGTTTCATACCCTCGCCTCTCTCTCTCATACACACACATACACACACACACACACTCGGGAGATAATGTGTCAAGCATGAATTCGCGTGAAGCCCATTTAGGCCCAAGAAGCAGCAAATCATTAACCATTTACTTATTATTTTGCTCCAGTTTGTTAGCGCATTGAATCCTTAGCCTATTTATAAACAAAGTGTGAGCCCCATTTCAGCTACTCGGCCTTTAGATTGGTGCTGTGTGACAGTCTGAGCACTCACAGTGTAGCTCTAATCGAGGTTTGGCAGAAGTTTGCTAACGGTTCAAAAAGGTTAACAGTCAGGTTAGCACAGTCTTTCTCATCGCTGGTCCTGGTGGCCCACTGCTTATCCTGCTAGCACACCCAGTCTAACTCAATAATGGGCTGTCAATGAGCTGATTAGTTGGATCAGGTGTGTTGAAAGCAGGGAAAACACTAAAAAGTGCAGGGCAGTGGGCCAACAGGGCCAGAGATGAGAATCACTGGGTTAGCACATAGCCTATCTCACAGTTTCTGGTAGGTGAGATGATATAAGAAAAGACAGATTGTTCATAATGTAAAACACTCTTTTAGTAACACGAGCGCTTCAAGGAAAACGAAAAACAAAACAAATAACAATAAAAAAAGTAAAAAAATTAATGCCATAAGCCATGGTAGAACATTAAACTGACTTCAACAGTCAGTGACGAAAAATGTATTTATTTTGTAAAGTTCTCAAAGCTTCAGTACGTCTTGTAATTAGGCTGTACGTTAATATGATATGATTCAGCAGGTCTATGACGAGGGGCGATTTGGGCCTAATAAATTGCACTAAAACTGACGGGGCTGAAGTCAGCTTCTTATTCGAATTTCCCCGTTCCACCTTAAATGGTGCAGCACATTCTGAAGCCTAAAGCGTCAGGCTGTAACTGCTGCACTGTTTAAGGTGAAACGGTGAAATTCAAACTAGAAGCTGGCGATTAAGAAGCTGACTTTAGCCTCGTCTAAAACTGAAGCTGGAATAGACTGTAATTTGGGTCACAGAGCCCATAGAGCTTTCTCATCAAAACCACTGGCTCTCTAAAAAGGTTCGTTATAACCATGCAGCAGATTACTATACTGCAAATTAACACAATCTAGCAGGACTCTGATTTACATATAACATGCATGCAACAACCCATAATATTGTCATTTCTGATGCGGCGAATATGCGCAGCTCTGCGTTAACCATGCGCATCTTTGTGTTGGGCCTCGACAGTTCATTTACGACAGTTCATTGCGACTGCCGTACGATGTTTAGAAAAAAAGTGACGGCAACAGAAAATCTACAATAAAAATCAGCTCCAGACTGAGGAGAAGGAGCTGAGGATCGGCACTCTGCTCCCAACTGACCGCGCTGCGCTAGTACGAGTCCCGGGGACGTACAGACTTTGAGAGGGAGCCCCGCAGGCGGACTGAGTGAGTGAGTGAGTGAGTGTGAGGGAAGGGAAGGTGAGTCAGAGCGGCGCAGCTGGAGCAGCAGCAGCCCGACAGACAGCAGGCAGGCACACTCACAGCCCCTACGGCCATGGCCTCCGACACCGGGAGCAACATGGACAGAGAAATGATTCTGGCTGACTTTCAGGTACGGTTTCTCCCTGTTGTTCGGTTTGGTTTGGTTAGTTGTCAGCGCACACAACCTCCAGCGCGTGATGCTCAGACAGCCAGCTAACGTTTTGTACTAACGCTGCTCAGGAGAGCGGCTAGCGGCTAACGTTAGCCAGCTAGCTTGCTAAGTCACTGACAGTACTATATGGGTTAGCAAGTCAGTAAGCTAATGTGTCTTGAGTTGTCGTCGCGATACTTTGTTTTGCTGTTTACAGCTTTAACACTTAGTGATTAGTGAGACAGGATAAACCATGCCCACTGCTGTGTGGTTATCCGTGTAGTGTTTCTGTGTTTGGCAGGCGCTGTGTGGGAGCAAATAGCTTTGCGGCTAACTGGCTTTCATTGTTGCACTTTTGACAGCAGCCGGCGAACTAGCTACATTGCTAGCCAGCTATTCTACTTTGCCTGCGAAGTTTTTCTCCGGCCTTTAGGAATATTTCACTGCAAACGCTGCAAATGCATGCTGTTTCTTCTATTGAGTATAAAAATCAAAACGTCTAGGTAGTTATTTATCTGACTGAGCTCAAAATGTGTTGGCTAGCTAGCTCAGTATGTAGTGTAGAGGCTATGACTGGACGTTTTAGTTAGCATGGCTACTTCTAGACTAGACTGGTGTTGCTCGTTTGTTTATGGGCTCGATTATAAAGATTCCCTACGCTCTTTAGATCGAATTGTATTGTTTAAGAATATATATATTTGTATAAATCATCTCGGTCACTAGCTAGGTCCCTTGATTAATCAAGTAAATGGTTATGTTATTACTAATCTTAGACGAAGTCTTGGAATATTTAAAATAAATTGCGAGACAATCACGTGACTAAATAAAAACTGTGCTGTATCGTTTAATAAGTTAAACAACATTGTTCATGTTTTGATATCTTACTTTCATGTAGTCGTACAGCCTTGTTTTTATCACGATTAAATTATAACATTGACCATTGGACCTACATTGAACTTTGACTTTCTTTTGCTTTACATATTTCTCTGATCATTTAAGAGCTCAGCAGTCCAGAAAGAAGAGCTTTAGTCTAATTCCAGATTACCTTCCAGTTAGGCATGCACTCTGATATCAGAATCAGATTGAGGTTAGCACGTGTTATCTTAAAGAAGAAATATTGAGATGTGTCGACAGATATTTCAAACTGAGAATCAACAACATAATTATTGTATGTGATGTTCAGGTGATGTCAGGTGATTTAGTCTAAGTTTTGTAATTTTATAAAAATTGTGTCGGCATAAGTGGTATGTGCATGAAAAAATTAAATATCAGAATATGCCCACCTTTCGCATATCACCTTTTTTTGATCAACTTTGCTACTTTGCTGTATTTTCGAGATGTCAGCCTTACTTTTTTGTTTCAGGCATGCACAGGGATTGACAACATTGCAGAGGCAATCACTCTCCTAGAACTGAACAACTGGGACTTGGTGGTAAGTTTTGCCCACATTTACAGTGATACATTATACGTTGTAACAGATGGCAAAAACTTTGGTTGATTCCAATAACCTCATTATTTCAACGAGATAAACATTCTGCCTTTTGTTTGAGTTCATACAAAGCCACAGTGTTCATTGTGTACACATTATCTCATGGGCCTATTGTGAGTTAGAACACAGAAGATTCCAGCACAGTTCTCTAGATCCAGTCTTAACATGTGCATTAGTGAAAGCACAGCTGCATGTATTGTGGCATAAATCAACATTTTAGCTAATTTGTTTCAGCATCATCGTTATTTGTCCTAGAGCTTTTTGTTTGTTTGTAAATTTAAAATTAAGTCTGTGCACATCAGTCCTCTGTCTGCATTCAGCAAACTCGCACTAATAGACCCCTAGACATTAATAACTTCATCTTTGTAGTTACAGACTGTTTGGCTATAGTTAGCCAGAAAAAAATAGCAAAAAAAATAAAATGTTTCCTGCATTAAACTGACTAGAGGGCCGTTATACACTACTGTTGCTGTTTTACTATTGGCAGATAAAAGCATCATATTAGGTTTAATATTGGAGCCTGACCAGTTTTCTGTGGTGAATCATTATGCATTTAAAATGCATGATTTTAATTTATTATAAATATTTACAGATATTTTAAAAGAAGTGAGGAAAATATGTTTCTTCATAGAAAGCCCTTTGTGTTAATATGTAATATATGAAAACACACTTGTGCCTAAAGCAAGAAGTCATAGCATGCGGTTATACTGACTGATTACAATGTAACACATTATTGTATAAAATAATTTATTTTAAAAGTATTAGAATTCCTTTGGGAACTATCCCACTGACAAACCCTCAGAACCAACAGGAGCTGGCTTGCAGTGATGCAAGAACTTGGTTTGTTATTGAGCGCACATTGGCTGTGTTTGGATGTGTCAGAGGGTATACAGGTCTGAGAAGGTTAGAATAATACTCGTCTGCTGTATTCTGTACTGTACTGCCATAGAAGAGGACCTTCCAGACTCACAGTGGTCTTTAAAATGCTGCACAATTCATTACAATTTACTGAGAAAAGAAAACTATTCTAAACGTTTGTTTGAATAAAAAAAATGTCAAAGATTTATTCCCAACGATGTTAAAATGGCAGCATGTGTCATACGCAGAAGTTTGAACATTTTGTTGTGAAAATAAGTTAACAATCTGCTACAGCGAACAAAATTAAATGTCTTTTCTGCAAATTTTAGTGCATAATGTACCTTTACTTGCAAGGGCCATATTTTATGTTAAAGTTAGCAAATACAGTAATTGCATATTAAAATGTTTTCTATAGAGAATGTGTTCATTTATCTTCACTTAGAAAATCAATAAACTCAACAAAATTTTACCAAATTTTGATAAAAACCTTTACATACTACTCTGTCTGTAAATGCTTTATGTTGATGGCTTATATTTATAGCCAGTACATTTTAAGTGACATGCTTAAATAAAGACTTGAAGCCGTGAACTCAATCCCATTTTTTATTTTTACCCCTATCCCTTGTTTTCGAGTGTCATCTTGCCCCTTGGAACTGAGTTAGGGGTAGTTAAGGGGTAGTGGTTGAAATCTTCCCCCTACGAAATGGGACCCTCAAATAAAAAGAACATTACTTCATTAACAAGCTACTAGTGGTGCTCTGTAGGTGACCCTGCCAGTCTGCAGTGATAGCAGAGGAGGGTAAAGTTCAGAAACCTTGCTGCTGGGCTTTAGTGACATTTAGGGCGTCATTTGCCTTCAAAGAGCGGGGATGGACAATTATTTATTATCAGCTACCCCGAATTCTTCAGTGATATGAAGCTGAAGTCAGCAATTTGTTGAATTTTGATATGAAGCTGAAGTCAGCAATTTGTTGAATTTTGCCATTCCACCTTAAACAGCAGTTACATTCTGGTGCTTCAGGCATCAAGTAGTGCTGAACGGGTTAATTTTTAATTTTTTTATTTTTTATGCTTGTTATGGAGAGAACGATCATAATACATTGAAGCGACATTAAGATAATACAATGGTTATCGTAATTTTTAACAGAAATACTCACTTTCTCATAACACTCTGTTTGTGTGCCTCTGAAAAACCTCTGTTTGGAGGGCCATGTAGCCCTAACACTTCGCCCTACCCCTCTATCTCAACACAAATCGGGACACCCTACCCCTAGACATAACAACCCAAAACAAAGGGCTAAGGGCTAAGTGGTAGGGGCGAAGGGCGAAATGGGATTGGCCCTAGTGGAAATTTTATTTTTTTTTCTGCAGATTTATCCAGTTTCGCGGTGTACAAATGGTGTTTGGTGTTTTCATTTCATAAACTGAGTAATATGGCTGCCTTTAAACTTTGAAATGGCAAATTTCAGATGATAAATTATGAACAATAATCTGGGTCTTATGTTCTGTTAATTTAATGTGTCAAATTTGAGGGGGTCAAATCACTTACTTTTTAAAATTAAAACACCAAATTATATTTACCATGCATGGAGACAGGGCTCGTCTACCCCTTTCTATTAATTTCATTTCTTTTACTTTGTCAGTTAGACTGGTGTCAATTATATTGCTGTAGATTATGGTAATGATATTCTGATTGCAAATTGTGGAGACTGTTGGCAGTCATTAATGTTCTACCAACAAATCTGGTGTTCACACAGCATGTGTAAATCCAGCAGAACATTATTGAAAATGCCCGTTTAAAGCAAATTTTTACGGACAAAAAAAGTATGAAAAGCTTTTGAAACGAACACACGGGTAATAATACTCTCTTTGAACATTAAGCCCGAAAACTGATGGACAGCAACTGGGAGTAAAATTTTCTATTTTCCGATTTGTATTATTTTATTATTTATATTGTTTAATTTTTTCTGTGTTGTACAGATGCGTTGAAATCAAGCTGACCAGTCAGAGCATGGTTGTCATGGTTGCTGTCCAAGCAAATTTAAGTTGGTTTTAACGAGAGGAAAAATGAAACAAAAGCAGTATCCCGAATCCCCACTGACATACGAAAATACATTCAGAATAGCTCATTACAGTTTCATTGCTGTTTTGTAGAATGTAGAAAATTCTAAATTAATTGTTGCCATTATTACACTACATTAAAATGTTTGTAAAATGTTTTTTTGTTTTCCATAAAAAACTGTACTTGGCATGAATATATCTTTTACTTGTGTTTTGCTTGCAGTTTGTTTGTGTATTTACAAAAGTTTTGTGAATTAGGCCCAGTGTTTTCTTACAGCAGCAGCAGCACTGTCAATATCTTGTGGTTGGGGGAGTTGATTTGCAGTGTTCATGTTCATATACTTTATAGGTAATTATTGTGGGATAATTGCCGAAAGGTTTATTCATTACAACCTAGTAATTACAGGAAAAGATAATCATATAGATCAATAAAGCCCACATTTGCCAACAGTCAAAATGTTTTTGCATGTTTGGCAATGTGGTAGCAGCAAGCACTACAAGTTCTGTAAGTTTGTCTTTGTCAACAATTGACTAAGATCTGTATTGTTACTTTCAGTAGGCTTTCTAATGAACTGTCTTTTGTTTGGGAGGCCACATCTGCCATACAGTGTCTTGTACTGTGGTTATGCTAGCATTTGTCATGTACTTCGTAATGAATACATTTCTGTTGTGTTGTGACTGATATCATTACTGCATCGCAACTGAAAAACATTGTTTACCCTAGTGCCTAGAACATTCTCTAACTCTTCTACTAGCCTGCATTCAGCCTGAAAAGGCCACTACTATATGCTGTTCCACTCCTCTCATATTTATAGACTCTAAAGAATGTGCAGTCTCAGTACAGATCTGAAGTGACAGTTTCAAAGAGAGTCAAGAAATTGTGGTTTTTTTCCCCCCACAAAATAGCTCTTTACTGTGAAAAGGGGGTGTTTTTTCTATATTTAGCTGCAAGCTGCAAGTATGGTGGCAGCTGTTCAAAGCAAGCAGGGCCATGCCCCTGCGGTGGTTAAATGCACCTGTAAATGTGATGACTTGCTGTTCCTCTGTGTGGAGCTGGAAGGCCGATGGAATCTACAAAAGAGCCCCTGTGTGTAGGAATAGGACAAGCAGGAAAAGAAAACATATGCACACATGTGTGTATATACACCCAACACCTGGGCAAATCTTTCATCAGCTTTGAGGTGTTTATAGTACCTAAAGTCAGATATGTGTTTCATGATGAACTGTGTGTTTGTGTGTGTCTGTGCATGTCTGCTGTGTATCATTAGTTAAATTTATCAGGTGGGTGTTGTGTTGGCTTCACTAAATGGGAATAAATATATAATAAAGGATATAAGCTGCTCAGAAATCTGTCATTCTCAAAAACTCAAAAGCTCAAAGACTCTATTAGAGGCTTTTATAAAACAACAGTAACGGTAACAACAACACTAGAACTACTGTCATTTTATTCAGATAAGAATGTTAAAATTCTAATCAAAATGAGCAAAACACCCTTCTGGCTGTTAGGACTGTCCACTTGGCAGCCATTTTGGCAGTGCCCCCATGCATTTATTTCCAGTCATATGAGCTCGTGCTTCTATCTCTTTAAATAAGGAGAGACCTTTAACCCTGAAACTGAAAGCCACATTAGCATTTTTAAAGCACATTTGAAATCACTGGTAAAATCTGACAAAAATCATATAAATAGTTTGTAGCATTTGGTTCAGATATGAAGAGGTGGGACGTCTCTGTGAACAGATGCCATGTTGAGAGTTATGAGTTCTCCCATTCATTGTTAAACCAGTGAACTGTCTCCTCCTCCTTTGCAATGTTTTTATTCTGGACTGGTTTAGAAAAATATTGACTAAAAATCAAATGGTAACAATTTTCCCTTAATCCAAATATAGTCAATCAGACAAGACATGTTTGGTGTCAAACATTTGCTTGTTTTGCGTGCTGAATCTTGAAAGTTAGGGTCTCCAGTTTTGCACTGGATGTGATTATACTACACTAATTAGCCTCAGGCAAACTGTATGCATAAATCATCGCATACTTTCCTCAAACCACTTTTAGTAGTCTCATATATTTATTATGTTTATGGTTTGACACTGTATGATATACTGTAAAATATTGCGTAGATTGAAAAAGAAAGTAATAGCAGCTGAGGTTTGAGGCTACTTATGTCAATCTTTTATTTTATTTTCACAGTACGTGTGTCCGAAACCACCTGTAATTAAGTGCTGTCAAATTCCGGCTCCTGGTGACCATATGAGTAAGGTTTCTCCAGAATATGTTGCCTTTGGGTCTTCAGGCTTTTTAATGGCTTGTTCATGATTCCTCTAATTGTATCCATCCATCTTGTTGCTGGCTGCCCTCTTCCTCTTTTACCTTAAAGTGTTCCAAGCATTTTTCTTTTTTTCTCAAAAGCCGCCTAAACAAGTGTATTTGGAAAACTTAACAACTCAACATGGTTTCAGCCAAGTGTATAATGATTTATGCATGCAGTTTGCCTTGTGCTAATTGGTCCATTACTTGTTAACTACATACTTGTTGGCCTTGTAGGTCCAGTACAAAACTGTGGACATCAAACATGTCCAAACATTTTGGCTGATGAGCAACATTTAGAATAATGTGAAAATTGTGAAAATGGGATATATATTTTTTTTTTTTGGGTGGCACGGTGGCGCAGTGGGTAGCGCTGTCGCCACACAGCAAGAAGGGCCTGGGTTCGATTCCCGGCTGGGCGACCAGGGTCATTTCTGTGTGGAGTTTGCCTGTTCTCCCCGTGTCTGCGTGGGTTTCCTCCGGGTACTCCGGTTTCCTCCCACAGTCCAAAAACATGCAGTCAGGCTGATTGGACATGCTGAATTGCCCCTAGGTGTGAGTGAGTGTGTGAATGTGTATGTCTGTGTGTCTGCCCTGCGATGGACTGGCGACCTGTCCAGGGTGTATCCTGCCTTCCGCCCAATGACAGCTGGGATAGGCTCCAGCACCCCACCGCGACCCAGAAGGATAAGCGGTTTAGATGATGTATGTATGTATGTATGTATGTATGTATGTATGTATGTATGTATGTATGTATGTATGTATGTATGTATGTATGTATGTATGTATGTATGTATGTAATTTTTTTTTTTTCCTTTAAGTTGCATTTAGAGCACTAGAATTACATTAGACTTCAGGCCAGGGTTGAAGGTTATCAGTGGACTTGACCAAATAGTTCAGAAGTTGCTGTTTTGTTCATGCTCTGCTGAAGTATAATAGTTAAATACTTATCAAGACACTGCTGGATATACACTATTTCAGCTTGAGAACTTAGAGGCCTAGTTTTTGGATGGTCTGAGTACACCGATTGTGACTAACTCAAGAGCTGCTTCCCTCAGATCTTTATCCACTCAGTCATTCTGCTTATCATCGTCTGGCTCCAAAACCCACATACACTCAGATACTCGGAAGTCCGTTACAGTGCATTCCAGTTCAGAAAGGGAAGGAAACATACAGCCCACGTCGCTGCGTTCCGCTCATATGTGATGTACGTGCTGAATGGATGTTTGACAGAATATCTGATTTTTGCTGTTCATTAATTCAGTCTTTCTTTTCAAGCACCTTCTTTGTTTGCTGCCACCCTCATAATTCACATCGTTTAGCCTCTGTAAAGCGGCTGTTCAGTTTCTCTTGTTGGAGATCTGATCTATCATTCGTGTATGTAAATAGTCAATTTAGCTGTAGGTTCTAGTGTTAATGTGTCATTATTTCAGTTCTCTGATGGTAATCATCCTCTGCCTTTTTCCTCTCACATTTTATTTTTTGTTGCAAGCTATTCAGTGCTTTGGGTGACTGTTTGGTTTTGTGTAGTGGAGGTGATCATGTGAAAATTATTAGCCTAACTAAGATTAGCACAATACTGTGAATATGATTAAGTATTGTCATTAGTCCCAAAAAAATACTGGTGGGAATTTCATGAACACTAATTGGCAGCATCTTGATTGGTCACATTACACATAAGTAGTTTCTATGATACATCAGTGTTTGTTTAGTATTCCTATTTGTAATTGGAAATGAGGCTATGTAGTAGAGATTTAATTTTGGATACAGCCATTAATTTCTGTATGCTAGTAGTTCTCAGTCATTGCCCTGCATGTTGTAGGATCTGTTTACACTTGAAATTAAAATATAGTCAGATGTGGTTGTAAAGCTGATGTATACCTCTGACAAGGTAATGTTCCCAAAAGATTACTGAGGCAATTTAAGACTAGTAAAGTTAAACTTCTTAAACATGCTTGGGTGTAGGTCAGTATCCAGGAAAGGCTTAGTCCTCTATGAGCAAGGACGGATCGAGGCTTGACACTTTTCCTCAATGCGCAATTGCAAAGGATTTAGGTATTTCACCCTCCTCACTGCATATTATCATCAAAAGATTCAGGGAATCTTGAGAAAAATGTGTATTAAAGGCAAAGCAAAAAACCTCAGCTGAATTCTCATGACCTTTCGATACCTTAGACTGCACTGCATTCAGAAACAGTATTCTTCTATGATGGAAGACATTCCTACCACAAATGCCATTAAACTTGTCTTTTTGACCTTCTTTACACTCAACGTTAACATTTGATCATTTTGATCCAATCATGGTGATCAGATCATCTTCTAACCAAGACATTGCACATTTACACTTGCCCTTTTCAAGTGTAGTCTCTGCAACAAGATCTTGATCATATCTTATTTCCCTGCACAATATTTTAATTTTTTGTCAGACTACGGTGGTGCTGGAGCAGAGCAAGTGTAGCCTAAACAGGATGTACTGTTTAATGCTTAATGAAACATTTTGTAATCAGTGTAATATGTTCCAAGTATTGTAAGTTACAGAAAGAAAAGACAATGTCATGTACATTTGCTTCGCAGCCACAACTGAAGGCCAGATAAAATCTGATCAGGAATGGTGGGAGAACTGTGTGCTGTCCTTTACAGGCAGCACATGGCGTTTTAACTTTCGCTTTCGTAAATATATGTTTTAATGCTTGTGCAGACGGCTGAAAATAACTTGTTTAACACGAAAGGTAAGAATGATATCTAAAGTTGTGACTGGAGCGCACGAGACCTTAGAATGAATGTAGTCAAGCTGGTCGCATTGTGTTTACACACATGCACACAGACCCGATTACGGCCGATGCTCGACTACTTGTGTTTTTGGCCCTGTGTACACTTGTCATTAATGTCTGATCACCATGATTCCATCAGGGTGATTGGATCATCCCTCAGTCAATACACAGTACTTTTACACTGGCCTTTTTCAAATGTTGCTTCTGTATCCAGATATTGTTCAGATACTGTTCCCTGTGCAGTATTTATATTTTTTAATCATGTTAGCATGGCGCCAGAGCATAGCAGGCAGACCATCAACAGGTTAAGTTGTTAATTGCAACGGTTCTTTTTGTTTTGCTGAGAACCCACAACTAAAGTTAGGAAAAAATGAATTAAAATTACAGTTAGGAGTGGTGGGAGAAATAGCAGCAAATTGCTCTTCAGCTTTGCCCTTCATAAGCCTCTGTTTGAATACATGTACAAATACCAAAATAACTTTTTAATGAGAGCAGCGATGAGGCAATGATTTCAAAAGCTGTAGGTGAAGTGCACCTGATTGTTGGACTGCAAATGTAGCCAAGCTGGCTGCATTACATTTACACACATACACAGATTCAATCCCGATGCATGCTTGGCTACGTCGGGAACAGGACAGCTAGATTCGAACACGTTCTGATCACGAAGGCGGTTACACTGGTCTTTCAAATGTGTAAATGCACCGTTCTGCCGAATTAGCTAAATAGTTAAATAAATAAATAAATAGGATTCAGACCATAGATATTTGTATGGATTATGTTATGATCTATTTAAACTGAAGGCATTAATAGAGATAGTAAATACATACCCTATGAATGATGATTTTGTATTTTCTTTTAGGAGGTGGCTGTCCCAAATTCTAAGCCTAAGATCTTTTTGATTTAAAATGACGTTAAAAGTTTTAGATTTATCTTGTGTTTAATTTTTAAATAAAATAATGTATTCAAAAAAATGCTGTCCCACATCATGTCACTACTAAAACACAGAATTTTAGCCCATAGGCAGATCCTTATTTTAGCCACACCCCTGCATTTCAGAGCAGGAAGTGAGACTGCATCCTTGTCCCTCATGGCCACACATTGAGCAGTTAGATCCTGTTTTGTACCAAAATCTGAAATGTATGTGTGTATAGCTGTTCAAAGCCATGTTTGCTACCCATGTACTTAGTAGTGACATGATGGTAGTGACAAAATTGAATGTTCAGTCATTTATTTTAATAAAATAAATATAATTAAGACATGAAGTCACCGCGACCCAAAAGGATAAGCGGTTTAGATGATGTATGTATGTATGTATGTATGTATGTATGTATGTATGTATGACATGAAGTCACTCAAAGCAAAAGGATGTTAGTCTAATGTCATTTAAAAGTCCAAAATGCATTTTGAACACTGCCTATGAACCATTTCGGTAGATTAATCCATATACGAACAACATCGAAAAATGAGATGGATTTTAATGGAAATTGTAAACAGAGCCTAACACACCCAGTCGTAAATTAGTTCACTTGTTGCACCAGGTGTGTTGAGAGCAAAGGGAACTTTCTAAAATGGTGGGTTGGTGCTCCAAGACCGGAATTGAGAAGCACTGCTGTGTCTAATTGAGTGGAGTGAATCTGATAGAAGTGGTTCAACCTCATCATGTTAGTGTAAGTATTTGGTTGGGAAGTGTAATTAGTAAAAGTTTTAAAATTTAAACATCATCTTTATTTTTAAAATAATAGCAGGCCAATTCAAGCAATTCAAGGCCAGTCATGAGTTGCTATTGTATGGTGTTTTATTTGATATTGTAATACTGTTCTGAAATGTTTCTCATGAAAATCTTTGTGAACTCGATTGTCAATATTAATTGTGTGCTCGAAGTAACTGTAATTGCTTAGTGTGCTGTATTTGTTCAACTATTTTTCTTTATTTTTTTAATTTTACAGGCAGCCATCAACGGCGTGATTCCACAAGAAAATGGCATCTTGCAAAGGTAAACTCAACAAATATAATTTTCTTAAGTGATGTAGAGTACGGTTGGTCAGACCTTTGACCCCATGGCAAATTTTGTTGCTTTGTGTAATATATGTTTACGTACAGTAAGAGAGTGGAGGCTATTCCCTGAAACGAAGGCAGCCTGTGGACCGTTACTACACCACAGAAATAACGCAACGTTTGATTTAAGACCCATCCAAACGGAGCGTTCTCTGGCCAAAAGAGGCGGTTTATGTTTCCATGCCGCCGTGAAATGAAATGGGCTGTTTCTCAAAAAAGCGTTTGCTTTTGTTATGGCAGTATTTTTCTTTTTTCCCCCCTTCTTACTTTAATAAAGTCCAGCTGTGGTCATTGGTTTTTGATTGGATGTTAAGGAGTCACTGCAATCTTCTAAACTGTGTACATATAGGCTTGAGGTGTTTTCTTTTCTTAGGGCGCTGATTCTCAAGCCTCTGCTGTGGGCGTCGACAGCACTCCACATTAGTTTCTTTGTTGGGTACTTGGGTTGAATCACATGTAGTGGTGCAAGAGCATGGCAGATATTTGTAATAAGTGAGTGTATTTCTAGCGAGGCAAGGAGGAGTTTGAGAGAGAGAGAGAGAGAGTGCTGAAGTGGAGAGGAAATGCACGTGTGAAGAACGAGCCGCAGAATTTGTCGCCCAATTCCCTTTTGGAAGCCTGGTGTTGATTAATTGCCTTTCTTTCTTTTTTTTCAACGTCTCAGCGCTATAGTAAAGGGAAATGTAGCAGCCAGCTTTGCTGTGGGCGTTTTTGCTCTGTGTGGCGGTTAGTTGATAACCTTGTTAATGGAAGGGAACGACCAACAAAGCGGGGAGCTTTTTATAGGACTTTGAACAGATGTAGCCAGCCAAGGACTTGATGGAGAAGGCCACGTTGTAATGTGCTGCTATGCCTTGAATATGATAAAAGATAAAAGCATGCATTTCAGTTCAAAGTTTCATTAAAATATGGATTTGTTTCAAATGTCTCCCCACTCATTTCTCCTTTTTCACAATGACTGTTGAAGTCGAACTACAAGCTCTTTAGAGCTTTGTCAAGCAATTGATACTGCTCAGCTTGATTTGCATATAAGGATTTTAAATTTGTTTGCAGTTCCCTGGGCTCCGAAGTCTTGCGTAGAGGCGTCCTCATTGGGCAACAAGAAAAACGTTGATGCCCGAAATTAGAAATGTAACGAACTGTTTCACACCCAAGCAGTTTGCTTTGCATTTCTTATTGGCTTGCATGCACATTCCTCCACAGTTTTGTTTTGAGAGAGAAATGGACAACAGCAGAAACAAATAACAGGAATTGAAACTGTTGGCTACAAAAGCGGCCTGTGTGAGGGCATTATGTCCTCAGTCCGTGTCTTTCTCCAACGGTCAGCACTCATGAATGCCACCGAGTCTTAAGAACAGATATATTCAAGCGCTGCACGCACTGTCTGACGGTTTATTTAGTGTGTGTGCGTGTGTGTGAGTGTGAGTGCAAAGGCTTTGGGCACGGGAACATGTTTTTCTTTAAGGCCTGTAATTATGAATGGAGTCTGGCAGCACGACGTCCAGCCATCTCCTTTCGCTGGAGGCTGGCACAGTGCTGCAGGCTGGAGGGTGGCACGGCTCGCTGAAGTGCCCCCATTGAGCTGCCCGCGGCCAGCTGGCTCTGCGCTCCGAGCTCTGGGGCCTACGCTTCCCATTGCCAAGCTTTGGGTGGGTGGAGGCTGCCATCTAGGTGCACACAATGGAACAACCGTTTCTAAATTCTTTTTAAAAAGGGAGCGAAAGAGGAGGGGAGAAAAAAAGGTTTAAATAGAATCTTTGATAAGCCAAGAGTTTGAGCAAGGAGCAGTTGGAGATCGTTTACATATCACAGAGTTGTAGTTATTTGTAGTATGTTTATATATATATATATATATATATATATATATATATATATATATATATATATATATATATATATAATATATAATATGTGTGTGTGTGTGTGTGTGTGTGTGTGTGTGTGTGTGTATATATATATATATATATATATAAACATACATATATATAAGCATTTATTGTGTGCGTGTGTATGTTTATGTGTGTGTTCATTAAATATGTTTGTGTGTGTTTGTAGCTGTGACTGAATATTACGATTAAAACTGAAAGTTTAGTTTAAGGTACAAGAACTAAACCTCAAACCGCTCTTGTGAGTAAACAACCAGCCCTTTGTGTGTCATTTCCACAATGAAAATAATGTAACCTTTACCTAAATAATGTAACCTTTCAGTGTTTTGTGTTCTTTTTATGTGGAGCGTTTGTTCGTTTTGTTCGTTGTGTTCTTTATTTGATCACCTGAAGTTCAACATATACAACCTGAAAGTGACGAACTTCATGATTGTCATTATCAGCGTTTTTATGTCATTCTCAGAGAGTTATAATGCAAATCTCAAATTTAGTTGCAGCAACCTCAACTGGCTTTATAAGTCACATGTATTCTTTTATTCTGACATGTTTCTAGTGATATTTACTTATTTTTATTACCACTAAATTGATTGAAGCTGCATAGAGCTGGGACGTGTGAGCACTAGAGGGAGGACTTGGCCAACCTCCTGTGGTGTGCTCCCTCTCAGACTGTGTTTGATAGCTGCCAGAAGCTGGCAAGTAGCACAAGCTCCTGCATTAATTCAAGTAAGAGGATGATAGTAGTTAATGAATGTCATTTGAGGTTTCACTTGGGCTGCATTGAAATATGGCATAGTGCCATTATCAGTGAGGTATTTATCTGAGAAGAGTGTCTTGTGAAGTAATAGTCTTTAAAATGATCATGCTTTATTAAAAAAAAAAAACAAACAAAAAACTGATGACTATTACTTGTCTAGTGTAAAAAGGGACTTTTACTTTATTTTCAGTCATTTGAATGGTGTATCTCATTTTTCCACAAAGTGGGTGTACATTTTTGTGTCCTGCCTGCCCCAGGACCCTAACGTCTTTAACCTTCTGGTATTGTAATAAGATGGAATAAATCCATGCTTTGTGCGCGGGCCCTGGCACCCTGCTCCCTCTCTCAGTGCGATATGTGCTGACCCTGGAGGAGAAGAGAGGAGCTTTTGTCCCGGCCGCTGCCACAGAAAAGACATTATTTACTGCCACAGGGGGATGGGGGCTCGGGGGAATTCGACCGTCAGCCGCCGAGAGAGCAAGAAGGAGACTGAAAAAAGCTGTTTTGTGTCCCCAGCCATAGCAGTATGAAAAGAAAGGAGTTAAAAAGGAGAGAGGGAGAGATTTCCTCTATGCCAGACAATTGAGCGTCTGTTGGGCCTGGCGCATATTATCCCTGCAGTAAAGGTTGTTTACATTGACTCGGATACTGTTTGGATTGCCGCGCCGCTGCCATTGTGGATCACGCAGAGTGGGGGAGAAGAGGAGGACGTTTTTTCTTTCGCTGTTTTCTGATAGTCCGTTAGAGATGTTTCCCACTAATGACAAACTAAATAATGGGATCTCTGTGAGGACTTCTGTGGTACTGTTTGCTCTCATTTTTTAGAGATTTATTGTAAGAAAATGAAATCAGAATTTCAGTCAGAACTTCTGATTAACACTGTGTAACTGAATATAAAAGAAGGTGAGGAGTTGCACATTAAATAGGTACATTCAGCAGAGAAAGCTTATGCAGTTATTTTTCAGTGACAGATTTGACTTGAAGTTGCCTTTCAACATGTCAAATAATGTTCAGACTCTAGATGTAGTGTTTCTGTATGATTGATGAGGTTATGTCCTACTGCACACCTTCTGTAGAATTGTAGTAGATATGGAACTTGAAGCAGTTTTTATTTGGCAAAAGTTGTCAAGCTATGACTTTAGTTTAATTAAAAATGCCTGCTCTGAAAGTGTTCAATTAATCATGTTCGTCCTGTTCGTAAACAACCTCAGTAACATCCAGTGCTGCAGAATAATGTCTCAGAGTGTTTTTATGAAACAGAGCCGTAGGTGGAAGAGGCCTGAAGCCTGAGGAGGGAGAGCCGCAGAAACAGCAGTGCAGGTGGCAGGGCGGAGCGGAAGGATTTGATTTAAAGGAAGTTTTAGTCTAAACATAGTTCAAGTCACTGCAGGGTAGCAAGGCAATATTTACTTAGTACCAAAAAGGGATTTACCAAGGAAGTGCTTGCAGCTAGACTGTTTTGTGAAGTCCAACATTTTATTTTTATTAATAAAAAGCTGAATTTCTGTAATAAGTCTGTATTTGGTATTTATGTACCTCACTACTTTCACTATCATTGTAAGTGCTGTGTGAAATTTATATTGAACCTACTGAATGTGGGCTAATAGGAGTGCATGTTCTGAGTTGTTGCTGTTTATGTCCTCTGCAGCAATTTCACCAGTGAGGGCTCTCAGACTGGCCCTTTTGGAGATAACAGCCAAGCAGCAGCCACAGCACCCACAGCTCCCCCCTCTAGAGCAGCATCATCCTCACCTCCGTCCTCCTCTTCTTCTTCCTCGGCCTTCTGCCCCGTCCTGCCCTCTCGGCACATTGTGGAGCGACAGCCACGCATGCTGAACTTCCATGTAGAGTACCGCACACGTTCAGTAGAAGTGGTGCTGGAGGATGCTAGCACAGTTGGTGAGTTACAGTGCTTGTTCCCACACCCCACACACACGCTCATGCATTTAGACAGTCACCGTTGCATACTGTAGATCAGGGATTCCGAGCTGCAACCTTGGAGGGCCATAACAGGTTGGTGACCAAACTGTTCTGGATTCTGGCTTTCTAGGACTGGAATTCGCCACTGGGGATGTACATTCTAAATGAACAGAAATCCGGTTGACCCCAGAGAAGGAAAAATCAACAACGGAAAGGGAAAAATTATAGACTTCGGCCACATTTAGAGTAGGGCTGGGGTCTTACTTTTTAGATAATGGCATTTGAGGTTAAAATTTGAAAAGATATTCGATTATTCAAAAATAGCCAGGGGTAGGGATGCGAATTTTGGCAAATTCTTTTGACCGATAACCGACTGTTATTCTTTGATGGTTAATCATTAACCAACAAACCTAAAATCACGGATCTGGCCCATGAAACCGTCACTGTGAGGCTTTAAGCTTTATTAAATGAAAAAAACGTAGCCTAATGTAACACATATGACAGTAATAAAATGTAGTCAAATTACTCACAAATTAACAAACTTGTATAGCTGTTTTTAGAAAAGAAGAGACAGGTCACTGATTAAAATATGAACGGGAAAGCTCGTAACACTCAACTTGTGTCTGTTTATGAGGAAAGTCCCACCCTTCAATAAAATGAGCCAAGCAGATTGCTGGTTAAACTGCAAGTGGGGAAAAACCTCCTTGTGGTGGAGATATGCGCATGTGCAGTAACCAGAAGAAGCTTATTTAAGCCAAACACTACATACTATTCAAGTTCTTTTTGTCAGATTTTATCAGTGTTTTCAAATCTGTATGTTAATGTGGCCTAATGTGGTTTTATAGGTCTCTCCCCATTCAAAGAGATAGGAGCCTGGTCTTGTACGAGTAGAAATAATTGCCTGTGTGCGTTGCCAAGATGGCCCTTGAATGGACAGGCTTTCCTATAAGGACTTGGTTTAAGACTACACTCAACAGAAGTAACATGGTCGTTTTAAAAAGTCAGTTGTAGTCTACCCTAGCACTATGTCATGTTGCTGAATGTTCTAGTTGTGGTAGTGCTGTAAACTACATTTAGATTGTTGTAATTTGCTGCCATATCTCTTGATCAATGGCCCCGGTGCTACCAGTTAAAATCATGTGGAGTCGCGAAGAAAACTATTCCAGCAGCAGAAGTTAAAAGTTAGAGTTGACTTCAGAACTTGTGTGTCACCAAGTACAAGAACAGTTTGTGCTCTTGCGCCCTCATCCATACAATTCAAAATTTTCTCCTCAGTCTACAACGTGCCAACATTACTTTTTCAGAGAAATCTACTTTCAATCATGTCCTTAACAATGCAGCCAAGGCAACACACTCTCTGAGGTGTTAATGTTTTATAGTACAATGTATAATATACTTACTTGCAAAATTGTCACTTTTTTACAATTCTGTTAAAACTTAAAATAATGTTTCCCTGATTTGTTATCTGTACCCTGTATTATCATCTCCATCCTCCTGTGATGAAATGAATACCAGAAAGGGAATTTTCAGTATGCCAAAACTGGCCTCTCTAACGATCAACCGAGTACTTGAGTACCCGTGCACATCCCTAGTAGTCACCCCTCCTTTACACCAGTATCTCTCTTGCAGACATTTTAATAAAACAAAGGGTAGAGATTCCTTCCCTTTATTTTCCTTGCCTTTATGCTCCAGAACCATGATGGAGAACTACTGTTCTTAATGTGCTGTAGCTGCAGTGGCACCACCAAATAACACTAATCAAGAAGAAATGAACAGAACTCACACATCTAAATACTCTGCTTTGAGGGCAGGTAATAAAGGTAACATTGTGAATGTGCAAAAAACTGGGGATGAGACAGATCACAAAACTCACAGTTCGGATCCTGTTTTTTTTTGCTCGCAGATCAGATCATTTTTTGGATCTGCAAAAAAAAAAAGACATAACTTTGCTTTCAATTAATTACTTACAGAACATAAAGAATACTTAAGGCAAGGAACGTTTGCCTGTCATCTTAAACGGAACATCCAAGATGTCCAATTGTTAAATAAAATCTCAGAATTAAATGTCAATACTCAGTTATTAAATTAAAGTGCGAAGTGAGGCATTACTTTAAACAGTAGTGAATGAAAAATAGCCTTTGTCCACATCACCAAAAAATTCTCGCTAGGAACCGTGCGAGGTGGTGTCTTGCCATTAGAGATGAAAGGATATTAAAATTTCATATCACGATTATCATGACCAAAATTATCATGATTATCGGTATTATCGCGATATTGTTCAAATATTTTGAAAAGTAAAATAAATTAAAAAATAAATACTGATACACAAACTGAAACTCGTTTCACCAACTTTTATATTAACACAAATAGAATTGGCAGCAATATGCACTTTTTGTTTGCCTAAACATTAAAAATGAGGTCAATACATTTTTAGTATTACTTTTGTATTACTTAAAATACTTGTAATACTCTGTAAACAAAAGAACAGCAAATGTATTATTATTACTGTTGTTGTTGTTGTTGTTGTTGTTGTTATTATTATTATTATTATTATTATTATTATTATTATTATTATTATTATTATTATTCTTCTTGTTCTTCTTCTTGTTCTTCTTCTTCTTCTTCTTCTTCTTCTTCTTCTTCTTCTTATTATTATTAATTACAATAACTAGGGATTTCCCTGCATAGAGAATTAAATCTCGACCAACTCTGAGGTGGGTCTTAATGGAAAATTACTACTTCTAAGAAGTGCTGCACTCGGGGGATTTCTGTCCGAACTGCAACTGCAGCATTATTGTGCCGTTGTGGCGCTGAACCCCTAATTAATACAGTGCACCAGGAAAAACAGCCAAAATTACAGAGGAATTGCATGACCGCGCTGTGAGCTGCAGACAGTGTAGAACTCACACAGCGTATCTCCACCTGTGGAGCTGCTTCTCTGAAAGCATTTTAAAACTAAAACATAACTTAAAATTAACATGCATCTGAGCTGCGGCAGAAACACTCCTAAAGTTTCATCTCTGAAACTCTGCTTTTCCCAAAAGCGGCACACAGCGTTTACTCACGCGAGGTCCCGTCTCAAAGCACACTATCTTCTCTGTGTAGTGCACTTCGTGGATCATGAAATAGCAAATCCTTCACCCAAAGAGTGCATGAAACGTTCGACTAAGTCATTTATAATCAACATCAACAACAGGTTACAAATCCCCTATTTAAAACTCAGCTGCTTGTTAATGATGATCGTGTTTGTTTGAACAGTAGTGCCCTATGTAGGGGACATTGAGTGGTTTGAGACGTTGTTATTCTCCTCTCAGATAGTAAACACTGCAAGCTAGACGAGAAAGGGGAGCTGCGCAGATTGAACCTCTGCAGCGTCTCATTCCAGAGTTTGTGTGACTTAACTCAGAGCTCATTTTGGAGACTCTGCTCCACAGAAATGTGTTAAAAGCTTTAGTTTCGATTCACAGTTGATTCACCGATTGTTTTTCTTTTTTTTTTTTTTTGACGCTAAAAGCTTCATTTTATATGATTAACGAACCATAAGCATTGGTTAAACCACAAACCGTGACATTTCTTCTATTTCGAAGTCCCCACAGACTTCTACGTTAAAGTTAACCTTGCATTCTCTAAAAAGTAGCAGGTGGTGGTTGCGAAATGACTCGTAAAGTGTGATGTGTTGCCCCCTTTCCCCGCATTTTTCTTTTGGCCTGTTCTGCAGACAGGGTGGTCATCTTCAAACTTTCCTTCTGCATCCTTATAAAACCCAAAATATGACCAAACGTCAGACTTGGTCTTCTTAGAAGGCTGAAATATCTCTGAATCTCCGAGTTTTCACACCACGGTAATCGGCCGCGGTTTTAACGATACTTTAAAGTTCAAACGGTACTACTAACCGTCATAAATTTTACCGCGGTTTACCGTGAAACCGGTAACCGTTTCATCTCTACTTGCCATCATTGCAATATTTACACTCGTTGCTTTTCCACCATGCCAGTAAAGTCAGTATTAAATGTACCTAGTATTACTGCATTCACACACAAATGCCAATACATTACCAGCGTACATTTACCGTTAATATTGAGGCTTTGTATCAAACTTGCAGCCTTTAAATGCGTTATTAAACAGACTGTGGCTTCCTCAGTATGAAGCTTCTTCACTTCTTGGTCATGTACAAAATACACTCTTGCTATGTTGCCTTTGGAAATTAATCTGCGGTTCACATGCATGCCAAACCATGGGTGAGGATCTGTACGAATCATGGATTGAGTACTGTCTGTTACACCACTGAAAGACAGTCTTTAAACAATGTCATTAATCATTTCAAATTGAAAGTAGAGGAAGTAGCTTGTCAATTTAAGACACACACCTTAAAGGAGTGTGAAGGAGCTCATGCAGGTCCCGTTCAATTTAGCTAAAAGCTAGTGTTGTGTTTTTATCAAGAAATATACGATTATACTAAAATGGATTTTTATAGAACTTGTATAGAGATTTATTTTGTGGTCTACAATTAAATGCACTTGTAACCCCTTGAGCGTTCCTCCTAAAATCAAATAAATAAATAACAGACAAACAAAGACAGACATGTGGTGTAATAGTCCATATTTTGTGCCCTTGTATCAAATCAGGAAGTACTTTGTCTAGAACAGATACCAGTGGTTGCTATTTACACCTAGTTCTACATAGACCTACATTGCACAGCTGTAGTAAGCTTTCATTACTTCAAACTGACTATCCTGCCCACGCAGGCTTGCACTTGTGGTACTTTCAGGGTTGTTTGAAGTTCACAGGCTTTCTGCACTGTGACTTCTTCTCCGAAGTCAAATAAATGCAGTGTGGTTTTTCTGAGTAGTCTCAGCTGTTAAGCCATAATGATCCTAGAATGTGATTTCACGTGCTGAAGTGTGTCTAGTGTCTGGTAAGCCTGCAAACAGTTATTTGTAGAGATGGACCGCTCAGTATTTCTGGGACCGATACCGATTTCTGATTGCCTTTCAGCATGATAATAGCTGATACCAATTGAGTGCGGGGTTGGACTGTTAAGGCCTATTCACACCACGTATACATTTTCCAGACCAAAAAAAAACGGATGCTATTTTATCGTAGTGGGACCTTCACACCAAGTCTGAAGCATTTTTCCGTCTTAGCACCCTGAAAACTTTTTTTTTTTAATTTTAAGCACTGCAACTAAATGGTGCATACACTGGGTACATCCCATTCTACAAAAAAGACAACATGGGGAGTCCCACTGCCTATTACAAGAGCTAGCTAAAGCTGCATAACAAGCGATTCTGCAGGTGTTTCCACAGGTCAGTGGGGGGAATTTGAGACTCTGCGTCTGCTTGTTGCTACTCTCATTTAAAAAGGAGCGAATGAACTGCAGTTAAATACAGTAGCTGTAACATACTCACCGTCATTCATAGCCTTTCAGCTCTCGTATGCCATGTATTGTCTTTAACATCCACATTTTTCTACTCAGCGTTTTGCTTGTGGATATAAGTGTAAAAGTCTGTGTATAAGCATATAAGTGTGGAAGCCCATTCCTGCCACTTCAATCAAACAATTCAACAAACAAAAAACAAAAAAATCAAACAAACTAATTATTGTTTTTTTTTCCTTATTAAATGAATCGCTATGCCATTGATTTGTGACAATAACTCATTATTTTGAGATGCTTTCTCATTATTCTGAGAAATTTTCTTATTATTTTGCTTTTTCATTGGATAGTATCTCAAAATAATGACAATCTCAAAATAATGAGTTGTTTTCAAAATAATGATTTGTTGTCGCGAAGCAATGGCATAGCAGTTCACTTAAGAAAAAAAAAAATTAAGCACTGGATATTTTTTATTTTAAGTGGCGGGGGTGGGTTTGCATATATAAGCTTTTGTGTTCTGCTACAAGAGTTCTGCTGCCGTCCTGATGTACGTTTGTTTGGTCTGCAACCATGACAACAGAGCTCTGAATTCAACGTATCCGTACAATGCAGAAAATAGAGCAGGCTCCACTTAAAAATGTACGCAGCGTCAGTTTCACACTTGGTGTGAAAGATGACATTTAATATACGTGTATTCATTTTCAGAACTTGACATGTTTTTTTGTAAGTAAAAATCAGAGTCTGTGTAAATAAGCCTTAGTCCTGTAGTCAAAAGTCTGTATTTCCATCTTTTGAACGAGGAACTGCAAATCCTGTGATCAAGGAGTCTTGCTCAGGGCTACAGCGATCCTTAAATGTGGCTCATATGTTTTAAGTCTCTGATCAGCTCTCAGAATTGGCTTGGTTGCAGAAATATCAACCAACCACATATTTGGGCTGAACAGCGTCCATTACTGATATATAGCCTATTGAAAGTTCCATCTCTAGTTATTTATGTTGAAAATATGATGGCAAACAAATTTGTGTTAGATAGAAAAATTCATAAAAAATTATTATTTTTATTTTTTATTTTTTCCCCCCCACCTTGTTACTTGGACTAACTGTTACAGCCTTTGTGTCTGGGTGGTGGGTATGTGTTTCTGTGAATGAGCGTTAGTCAGTGTCCAGTTATTCCTGATGGTGTCCGAAGAGTACTTTTGAGCACTGTACATTATATTTTCAAGTGACTGACTGCTAAGCTTCCTATTTGGCTGATCATGCAAAAGCAGTTAGGACTTGATAATTAACTGTTGAGTTGAATTTACTGTGCTAAGGTTGGAAAACCATCATGCTCTGTAGCGGTGTAGATGGAGTTTGCCATCACTGTTCTGATCTTGCTTTACATATTGTATTTAACTCTCCTTCTAAAGTTGATACTGCCACCTCCTGGTGGCACTGTGAACTAAACTCAGTTATTTTTAATCTGAAAAGTATATTCTCTTTGCAGGAGACATCAAACAGATACTGGAGACAGAGCTTCAGGTGCCTGTGTCTAAAATGCAGTTAAAAGGCTGGAAGAGTGGCGATGTTTCGGACAGTGTGAGTGTTTCTTTACTGTGATGTAATTTGTTGTCATGTTTTTGGCTTATACGGCATCAGTTCATCCGAACAGCAGACATAAAGAACTACATGTGTGCTTTAATTAGTGCCTTCATACTTTATTTGGCTGAGATACCTGCTCAGTTAGAATAGATATTCTGATTCATTCACATTTTACTTTTTCTATTGACTTCTGTGTTTTCTTTTTCAGACGGTGCTGCGGAGTTTACATCTGCCCAAAAACAACAGCCTGTATGTGCTGACCCCAGACATCGCCCCGTCTGCCACCACCAGCCAGAGCAGGTATGTGTTTGTGTGTGGTAATACATTAGCAGTGAGAAGTTTGGATTCACAGTCACACTAAATAAAAAGTGAAAGTTAAATGAAATAATGCTGTTATGATGCTACTGCTCTACACCTTCACAGATTTTAACTAATTAGTATTACGTTTTGAAAAAAGAAAATGTTTTAAATGTTTGCCTTACATTGAAAACATTCAAACATAGTGATCAAATCTCCGGCACAGAACTTAGCAAGAAATTACTTAAAAGAAATAATCACAGACACACACACACACACCGATCAGGCATAACATTATGAATCCTTGATTCTATGCTCATTGTCCATTTTATCAGCTCCACTTATTATATAGGTGCACTTTTATAGTTCTACAATTGCAGGCTGTAGTCCATCTGTTTCTCTGCATACTTTGTTAGCCCCCTTTTACCCTGTTCTTCAGTGGTCAGGACCCCCATGGACCTTCACAGAGTAGGTGCTATTTGGGTGATGGATCATTCTCAGCACTGATGGTGGTGTGTTAGTCTGTGTTGTGCTGGTATGAGTGGATCAGACACAGCAGTGCTGTTGGAGTTTTTAAACACTGTGTCCACTCACCGTCCACTCTATTAGACACTCCTACCTTGTCAATCCACCTTGTAGATGTGAAGTCAGAGACGATAGCTCATCTGCTGCTGTGTCTGATCCACTCAGACCAGCGCAACACACACTAACGCACCACCACCACATCAGTGTTACTGCAGTGCTGCGAATGATCCATCACCCAAATACTACCTGCTATATATATATATATATATATATATATATATATATATATATGTGTGTGTGTGTGTGTGTGTGTGTGTGTGTGTGTGTGTGTGTGTATGTATATGTGTAATATGTAATTTAACTGTGTTAAATTGTGCTGAAGAGCCAGGTAAAGGAGATATACTTTCAACAACAAATGAAGGAGGAAATATAACACTATCTCATAAATAAAAAGAAAAAAAAAGACTACTCTCATGTTATCACAAATGTTCGTGTTCTGTGTGATGGCAAATTCCACATGATCAGTTTCAAATCAGCATCTCAAATAGATGTTTTAGACCAAGAGTCCTTGTTAAAAATTTACAAAGTGTTGATTTTGGTTCACTCTTTAGACTTCAGGATTTAAAAAGGTCAGTATTTATTTCAAGGAGAGAACGCTCTTTGAAACACCTTAATTTTTATTGGAGAAGACGTTTCTAATATCACAACATGAGTGCAGTACTACAAAGCTCGGCTACTACATGCATGTTCAACCAGAGCTAAACCTGGCCCCTTGTTTTACACAGATCATTGTGTAGCTTGATACAAAACAAAAGAAGATGCCTTTTTTCATAAAGAATCAGGAATAGGCGATATGACAAATGAAGTAGAATTGTGAGTAAATTTTAGGAAGCAGTAGTACAAAATGGAGAAGAAAACCATGCATGACCAGTATCTTATAACAGTACAATAGAAAGAACAGGTACATGCGACTTTTTAATTGCTTAATAACGTTTGTTTGTTTGGGATGTTTGAGGGACAGCTACTTGAAATGTTAGTTTCAAGCCCTGACTACTACCTTCAGCCGTAAAGCTGTAAGAAGTACTGTTTTTACAGTTGATTTGTGAAACACATATCAACATCAGACATGTAAAATGTAAAAACAGTGCTTCCATTATTGGCACAACAGTTCATTTTTTCCATTCTTTTTGCCTAATATTGAATTCAAAATCGTTAGGAAACTTTATATTCCTTATTGAAATTCTGTTTGAGTTGGCAGACTTTGTGTGCTCTCTGTCTGCCTAACACTAGGTGGCACTGCTTGATAATTTTTTTTTTTAATTTGAACACTCACAAGGGAGATTTGATTAGAAGACCAGTACCTTATTCTCTTGATCTGTGGAAAGTCTTGTTTTTATATTTTATGAAGCTAAATAGTTTGACACACGAGCTAATTTTTCATACATTATAAGAAAATTTTCATACATTATTGCTCAGAAAGTTTGCATCAAAATTGTTTCCATTGCTGTAAAACCAGTTTTGTTGCAAATATGCATGTAAACACACCATACTGTTCTAATGTGATGCTGGTACTTTATTGATTTTCATATAATTTATCATATAATTTATATTTTCATATAAATTTATAAATTTATAAATTACATGTCTACCCAACCTGTAGAAATTTCCAAAATGATTGAGAAAGCTGTATAGCATCAGCATTTAAGTTATATGGCTCATATTTGCAAATCACTCAGCAAAAATTCTTTGATGAGATGTTACTGTAGATATAATAGACCTTTATTATTTAATAACCTTAATACCTTGCTCACACAATAATTAAGATTCTGAATAAAAACATGTTCTGCCCATGCATGGTAAAACATATTTTACTATTGATTAAATGAGCTACTATTAAAATGAACTACTAATGTGTGATGCTGCATTTGACTCCACATTGTATCAGCAGTGGCTGCAAATATTGAAGTATTTCAAGTCTTAGAAAAAATGAGCATTTTGAAATGTGACATTTCCCAGTAATTATCGGTCTGACATGTTTCACAGATTAAACCACAAGTCGTGCTGACACATGCCCCACAGTCTACCAAACAGTCTGTGTGAGAAACACAATAGGTATTGTGTCATTGAATACTTAAGTGACTCTTTTTGAGACAGAACAGCTTCAGCAGTCATTCTGAGTCACTTTATCACATTTTAGCTCTACTGTCAAGGACAGAAACAAAAAGAAGCTTTGCTTTGACACAGGTATCAGCAATGTAGATGTTACTCAAACTCTGTGCTCAATAGGCCCATAACGAACAAAAAGAAAAGGGAATCTGACAAAAGAAGGTTGATGTCCCTACCTGTACAAGTATAGCTGTGCAGTGTGGCCTAAAAATTAAATCACAATATTCTGTAAGATATTGTAACAGTGCATGTTACAAGTTCTTTTGGAGGGGAAAAAATCTTTTCTTTTAACAGTGTAATCATTATAGATACCGAAGAAGGTAATTGATTATGATTTTTGATTGACTTGAGTAATGTAAGGATTTATTTATTTAGTTAATTATTGAGTAATATTTTGATTTATGATATGCATAGTGACACTAAATGTCCACATCTTATCCAGACACGCCTTTTAATCGGTACATTCTTATACTTTTAAAATGCTCCCATTACTCACAATTGCACATAAACAGCTTGAATAATCTCCATAGAAAAGTACTGTTTAAAGAATCGAATGCTCTGTAGCAGCCGCTCATGAACGACTCGATGCTCAATGTCAAGAGTCGGGTAGCAGAGTATAAAGCCCCCCAGCTTTAGGCTGTGGAAGAGTGAAACCATGTTTCTTCGGAGGGATGAAGTAGCATCCGGTACCTTTGGGGTAAACTGGAGAGGTGTTTGTGATTCTGAACTAGATGTCCAACATCAGTACCTGACCTCACTAATGCTCCTGTTCCTGAATGCATTTAGATTCTTACAGCAGTGTTCCAACATCTAGCGTAACACCTTCCCAGATGGGTAGAGGCTGCTACTGCAAAGGCATTGGATGCAGTGGATATATTTCTTTGAAGATGAAGCAATGTTGACAAACTTAAACCCACAGAATCAGTGTAGTACTACTAGGTATTTAAATGTACTCGTCCTAGTTTATTTCATAAACTGTGGGTTTATTATTTAGTAAATTAATCTTGAGTCTTATTGACTAATAACTGCTAACTGCATTGTTCAACTACTAATATGTTGGGTGTTTAGTTATAAGAGGGAGGAATAGACGTCTACACTTGACAGGTCCTTAGAGTGTAACAGTTTTTTTGCAGCTAACGGTTTAAAGATTGCAGTATTGCTAAAATTAGCCTAATCATATCAGTTTCAAGTACAATTTCTTTGTATTTTAGTAATTTGTGAATCATAAGAAGTGAGTAATATCACTAAGTCTCTAGGCTTTTAAAGTCATGAGTAGTTAAGTGAGAAGGAGGTCAGTTTGGTGTGTGCGTCTGTGTTTCTCTGTGTAATTATCTGTGTTGATTAGAGCTGCTGTTAGTCCCAGCGGGAGGCAATGGGGATGTAACGACGTGGCTGTGTGTAAACTGGCGTCTCTGTCAACTTGTGTGGACACTGTACTCCGATGTGTGAACAGGCACATGAGAAGGAAAGTTAATAATGGGCTCTAACCTAATGTTGTGATAATCACGCTCTGCTCAAAACATGTTGACAGTTAGCTTGTCTGCATTTTCTTTTTCATTGTCAGGCGTTATGCATTTTATTCTATGCTTTGGTGCCTTGAATCAGATTTTAGGAGTTTGTCATTGTTTGATGTGTTGGTAGTAGGGCTGCAACTCCTGATTATGTCCATAACTCATTCATTGGTCTATTTTGAGTAATCAAGAAAAAAAACAGAGTGCAGTTGTTGGTTTGTCAATAAGCAACATTGAATGTTTAAATATTTAATGTGTTCACCCTTTTCACGGTTCATGGTTTATTTTATATCAGCATAGAAAAAAATTATAGAAATAAAAAAAAAACTAAATAAAAGAAAAACTATTTTTTTAACACATAAATAGACTGCAAAGTTGGCAAATACAAACCAGAAGTCTAAATAAATCTAACCATTGCTTGTCTTTCAGATTTTCTTCTCATCTAGAGAGCATAGCTAGCTGTTTTTTTGTTTCTTTACACATTGTTGGCTCTACATGTGTACTGAACCACAGTGTGCTTGGAATTTCATACCAGGCCTTGAGCACATTTTAACAGTGATCTGAATGCATCTTCTCGGTCGGAGATAGGGTAGTGTTTGGCACTGAGCATTGCTGGAAGTGTTGGCTATGCCATCGGCAGCCTGTGTGCTCTGTGATGTAACATGGAGAAGCGCTCTTTCTCTGTGAAACCAAAAAAAAAAAACACCGTTTACATTGTGTGCACCATGAGCCGAACCACAGTCTGCCTAAAAGCATAAAATCGCTTTCGGTTCAGAACTGTTGCACCACTGATATTTATTA